ATCTTGATGTGAAGCTTTCGTGACTGCAGGAATCCATACTCTTTGGTTCTTTCAATAAAGTCACGTAGGTAGAAAATAAATTAATAGATCACGACGTTTCGATTGCAACAACAAGTGACCGTTTTCAGGTGGAACAAAAAAGACGGTCGCTTGTTGTTGCGATCGAAACGTCGTGATCTATTATTTTTTCGACCTACGCGACTTTACCGAAAGAGCCAAAGAGTACGCAAACTCGTTGCGCGGCTGCACGCGGCCGATGATTACTGATTATGTGACGCGAGTCAAACGACCAAGGTATGCGCCGCGCGACGCTCAAATCACGAGCCACCATCGCCCGCACGAGACCCGCGTATGGAGTCGAACTCTGGGCGACCTCTTATCTGTCTCTACACCCCCCACCTCCTCGCGCCCTCCTTCCCCACCCAGCCCCTCCACCCAGCTCCTCCACCCAGCCATCCACCTTCTGATCTCGCGGTTTTCCACATGGGAGGGTAACGCGGAGTTTACGGGCCACGCAAGTGCAGCAGCAGCAGCCGCCGTGAAACCAGCAGATTTATTTATAGTGGAGGAATCCGATGCGATACAAAGTTTTTTTTTTTTACAGATTTTCAGTAGAATGCCTCATCAAGCCGCTAAATTCAACGCTCCATCTCCTCAATGGATCGCCTATCGACCCCGTTCTATCTACCGGCTTCTACTCCGTTACCAATTTTGACCTCGTCAATAGGGAAATAATTATAATAATCGTAATAATTTACATCCATTCGTCAATCCACTGCCGGATTAAGGCCTCTCCGCATGCGCTGTATAGCTCATTTTTCAGAAGCAATCTGGCCACAAACGATTGCTCAAAGAAGGGGCTAATTATCACGTGGAAATGCACAACAGCAAAATACTCTAAACGCCTGACGATGATTCTAAATGTGGAGGGAAAAACGGGAGGACCCAGAGAAAAAAAATCCACGCAACCACGTGGAGAGAGACACGCAAACTTCAAATATACAGGCGGGCAGGGTCGGGATCAAACCCACGATCTCCTGTATACCAGGCGAGGTAGTTAACATCTCTGGCGGTGACGTATGACCCATCTAGCGCACCTGCTGGGAGATGGGGGTTGGTGGACCACGACGAGAGTGGGTGGGGAGACACTCACCTTCACGAATGGTTTAGAGCATGGCAGGGGAATAGTGATTGTGTTAGAGATACTGCGGGCCTGGGTTCGAGTCCGGGTATTCATCCAACTCGAACTTAAGCCGGGTCCTCATTTATAGCGAGTCGATGGCTTTCAGGCTTTCGACCAAGTAACCGATGACGTACACAAAGACGAAGATCCTCCGTATAGCCTTAACAGACTTTCGGGGCAAGTGCTGTTAGCGAGCAGCACCTATGCAGTCCGGCACGGTGGCACACGTGGGATGCGTGGCCAGCGCGCACACAATCTCATGGCATCAAATTTGGTGTTTGTTTCTCTACGAATTGGCTGAACACGCCTGCTCTGAGTGAGGACCGTCACCCGACGAACAACTCAACAGCCGCGCACTTGACCGGCTCAGAGGCAACGCTTGCACAGACCTCATGAGTGGTTCTGTAGTCGTCGTCTTCCGCGGAAGTATTTCTAAAAGAACGCGCCCAACGTGCCGAGATAGATAGCTCAGACGGATGAATGTTGTCCCGTCTCGCGACGCCGATAGCAGTCGTGACGCCGCCGACGACATCGGCACAACTCCAACGATGGAATTTACCCGAGCGAAGGAGGGGAGTGGATAGATGATGGGGTGACGTCAATGTGCGTGCGATAATCCTCTGGGGGTTGGGGGGGGTGCCAGGGCGAGAGAGAGAGACGTCGGCAGAATAATATCAGACTCTGGAAATAGCACGGGACGCATACCCTCATTGCGCAACGCATTTAATAATCTGCACACATTGGGGTCGCGCAAGTTTCACGCGTCTGGCCGAAGACCCCCGGGGCCGGCCCAGGACACGATGGCGGGACGATGTCGCTCAGCTGTTTGTGTAGAGTAGTGTATAGTGTAGTGTATAGTGTGTAGTGTATAGTGTAGTGTATAATGTATAGTAAAGTAGAGCTTGAGTCTGTGTAGTGTATAGTGTAGTGTATAGTGTAGCGCATAGTGTAGTGTGTAGAGTAGTGTATAGTGTAGTGTATAGTGTAGTGTATAGTGTAGTGTATAGTGTAGTGTATAGTAATGTAGAGCTTAAGTCAGTGTAGAGTAGTGTATAGTGTAGTATATAGTGTAGTGTATAGTGTAGTGTATAGTGTAGTGTATAGTGTAGTGTATAGTAATGGAGAGCTTGAGTCTGCGTAGAGTAGTGTATAGAGCAGTGTATAGTGTAGTGTATAGTGTAGTGTATAGTGTGTAGTGTATAGTGTAGTGTATAGTGTATAGTAAAGTAGAGCTTGAGTCTGTGTAGTGTATAGTGTAGTGTATAGTGTAGCGCATAGTGTAGTGTGTAGAGTAGTGTATAGTGTAGTGTATAGTGTAGTGTATAGTGTAGTGTATAGTGTAGTGTATAGTGTAGTGTATAGTAATGTAGAGCTTGAGTCAGTGTAGAGTAGTGTATAGTATAGTGTATAGTGTAGTGTATAGTGTAGTGTATAGTGTAGTGTATAGTAATGGAGAGCTTGAGTCTGCGTAGAGTAGTGTATAGAGCAGTGTATAGTGTAGTGTATAGTGTAGTGTATAGTGTAGTGTATAGTAAAGTAGAGCTTGAGTTTATGTAGAGTAGTGTATAGTGTAGTGTATAGTGTAGTATATAGTGTAGTGTATAGTGTAGTGTACAGTGTAGTGTATAGTGTAGTGTATAGTAAAGTAGAGCTTGAGTCTATGTAGAGTAGTGTATAGTGTAGTGTATAGTGTAGTGTATAGTAATGTAGAGCTTGAGTCTGTGTAGAGTAGTGTATAGTGTAGTGGGAAAAAGATACGAAATAATTTTTCTGCGGTCCCAAACCCAGACGGACGCCGCTGAAAACGGAATCCATTCCGGGTGGCGTCGCTTCTCGTTGCAAAGTCGCGCGCCACATTCGATCCCGCTGTGGCATTGGAAGCGCCGCTAGAACTCCCGCACGCTTGGCCATTCGGGGGTGGCACAGAGGGACTTAACTTCGCAAATATTAGCAAGATTATTTAGTCATTTCGCCCCCCCCCCTCGCCCACCTCCCCCCCCCCAAAAAAAATATCGTTCTCAATAATAATTTTGGCTGCTGGAACTTACCCCGCAGAGGCATTACGCTGTTGCCGACCAAGATATTCTACATTGCTGGTGGCATCATTTATGTGTTGGTGACTTGATTGATGGTGTTGTACTTAATTGCACGGCTATATTAGGATATTAAAGTATGCAAAGTATGATCTGTGTTTTGATTTAGTGCGCTGATCTTAAAGGTGCATTGAAAAATGTTGATACTCCAGCTATGGCTGCAGAGTTTGGTAGTACATGTTGTATACGTCGTTTATTGTGAAAATTCGGTCACAGTTCCTATGACCTGCACTGTTTCATTGCTTTTATGGCTTTATTTTGGTGATTTTCGAAAAGTTTTTTGGTTTGGCCATGTTTGTTTGTTGTAGTACAGAGTTAGACTGATGTCCTTAATCTAAGTTGTCTTGTGGTTGTTGTTTGACTTGCATCCCACTGGGATATGTGCACAGGGTTGGTGTACGGTGCTTTTTCTGCAATATTTTGCTGTTTTTTCTTGGATTTTCTGTTTGCACATAGTCACTTTAAGATGTTTTATTGTTCATGTTTTTGTTTTTTGTTTGTTACGGTTGCACCCGATTCAAGAGCCGAATGGCTCACAGGGCTATACCTCATAAATAAACTTTGAAACTTTGGAAACTTTGAAAACTTTGAGGATTGCTGATGTGCGTGTTGCTTTCTGCATTTCGCCTTGAGTCGTGTCCTCTTCTCACGGTTTCTGAGCACTTCCTCACCCCCCCCCCCCCCCCCCCAGGGCTCATTGCCTGAAACGTCGCCGATTATTTATTACCACATATTTTTTGTACAGTTTGAAGACTAAATTTTGGCGTTTACACCTGTCCGGATTTTCCCAGAATAGTCATCTGTGTGTGTGTGTGTGTAAATATTGAATACATTTTGCAAGCCAACTGTCCATGGCAAACCTGCAAAGTCCCCCCCCGGAATATCACACGTCCCGGTTTATCTATTCATTTACGCTTATATCTATCTGTCCGGCGCGAAATTCTGGAATAAAGCACGACTCAAGACCAGCCATGCCATCCACGCGTGACCGTCTCCTCTCCCCCGGCGTACGGTCATCTTTAATCTTATCCAGAAGTCCCCGTGGTAGCTTTAATTAATTATTTTATACGTAAGAGTTGGCAACACCCCACCGGAGACGATTTCGATTCCGCGATGCGCGCTCACGTGGTTCAAGAGAGGCCACTGAAACTTGCAATTGCATCTCTCCCCTCCTTCCCCCCTCCCCTTCTCCCCTCCTTCCCCCCTCCCCTCCTCCCCTCCTCCCCCCTCCCCTCCTCCCCCCTCCCCCCTCCCCCCCTCCCCTCCTCCCCCCCTCCCCTCCTCCCCCCTCCCCCCTCCCCTCCTCCCCTCCTCCCCCCTCCCCTCCTCCCCTCCTCCCCCCTCCCCTCCTCCCCTCCTCCCCTCCTCCCCCCACAAAGCAAACCTGTTCAACTCGCAACTCCGGGTTCACACCCTCCTCCAGGTGCTCAGCTATTGGCGCATGCCGTACCAGCCCCCCGGTGTGAGTTTGCTTACGTAAATGCGTGCGGGTGAGAGGGGGGAGTGAGGGATATGGGGGAGGGGGGGGGTGTAAGATACGCGGCGTGCAAGTTGGAATGATAGCAATGACATCCAAAGGATTAGTCGAATAAATAATGTAATTGCAGCAACCACTGCGATCGTACTGACGATGGCGATGATGATGATAGCGGCCGAGCTCGCTATAAAACGCAGCAGCGCTGCAGATGAGCGTCGCAGATTCCCCTCCCCCCCCTCACCTGAGCCTCCCCCATCACCGCCGCACCCACGCGCAGACCAATTTGTTAGCCCAATTAGACACCCAACCCCCCCGGCCCGCGGAAGCATCATTCAATCATTGTTTATTATGGGGAGCTGAATCGGGGTTTATAGATACATTTCTCCCTGGCTCGCAACGCGTTACGTTCGCTCGCCCACTCTGTGACCGCCATCAAGTTGAACATCCACGATTGTTTTCTGTCTGTCTGGCTAACGGGGATCATTTTCACGATTGGTTTTTGCACTCTCCCGATAGCCCAGTCACTCATCCATCTCACTGTCTCTCACGGGGCTATCTTTACTCTTTTTTTCTTCTTTAGACGTGACCGATCACATAGGAAAAGTAAAAAAAAAATTCCCACAATTTCCATAAATTCACTCACAATCCCACTCGATTAACTGTTTAGGAACTCGGCGACACACACAGCGTGAATCTCACTCAACTAAAGCGACAACATTTTTTAGACATTCAGAGTTTATCACTTCCAAACAGAGTTACTTTTTAATCACCCTCGAACTCTCACAACCGTCTCACACGCTCATTACATGTCTTGACTCTGTGGCACACACACACACACACTCCAATTAACTGACACACACTCACTTTCTCTGACACATTCCTCACACTCTGTCAATCTCGCTCACTCCACGACACACACCATCCTTCCCATCTGCTCTCATCATAACTCTGACCCTCTCCTCGCTCACACACTCCACCGCTCTGAACATCGTCATCATCCCACGAACGTCATGGCAATCAATCCGACGCGGCTGCGGATCCGGCTGCCGGCGCTTGCGATCTTCCTGCAGATCTCCATGATCATCCTCTTCGGGGTCTTCATCCGCTACGACGAGAACGCCGATCCCATCCTCAGCAACGAGCACAACCTCACCGGAGAACGGACCATCCAGAACGAGTTCTACTTCCGATACCCAAGTGAGTGAGCGAGTGAGCGAGTTGATGAGCGAGAGAGCATACGCGTGAGTGAGCGTACGAGTGAGTGAGCGTGCGAGTGAGTGAGTGAGCGTGCGAGTGAGTGAGTGAGCGTGCGAGTGAGTGAATGAGCGTGCGAGTGAGTGAGTGAGCGTGCGAGTGAGTGAGTGAGCGAGCGAGTGAGTGAGTGAGCGAGCGAACCAGTGGACACTCTACGTGGAGGTGATTGTTTGATTGATCGTTTGAATGATTGTCCGTTCTCTTGATCGATAGTCCGTTTGATTGATTGTACGAATTGTCTGTTTCGGTTGATCGATTGAACGGCTATGTGTTTGATTGTTGATTGCTTGTGTGTTCCGTGTGTTTGAGCGGTAGTGTAGCGGTTAGCGCTGCGCTACGAACCCGGCGACCCGGGTTCGATTCTCGCTCACGGCCAACACCAGTGACGATTATTTGAACCGGTCCTGGGCCTCCCCTAGGTCGACTCAGCCTCAAATGAGTACCTGGTGCGGTGTGTAAACATCGCCACTGGGGAGACAAAGGCGGTCGGGCGTGATGCTGGCCACCCACCCCATCGTGTGCCGTTCCGGCCTTCATAGGTGCTCGCTAACAGCACTTGCCCCTGCAGTCTGTTAAGGCTATACGGGGGATCTTTGTCTTTTGTTATTTGATGCATTGGACGACTGTGATTAATTGCATGTCTCTGTAATGATTCCATGGATCGTGTGTTCGAGTGATTGCTTGAAAAATTATCTGTCTGTGCGATTTGATTATTGCTTAGTCTGAGTGTTAGACTGGTTTACTGATGGATTGTTTGATTGGTTGTGGAATAAATTGTACCTATGCGTGCTGATCTGAATGTTGCATTGTTTGATTGCTAGCTTGTGTGTACTAGCGGGAATGGGGAAAAGGAGGAAACTACAAACTTACATTATTTTTCAAAAATTCCCAGGTTTCAGTTTTCAGTTTTGTTTATTAGGTGTAACCCTGTGAGCCATGCGGCTCTTGACTCGGGTGCAACCGCAACAAACAAAAACATGAACAAGAAACATCTTAAAGTGACTACACGCAACAGAAAAATCCTGGAAAAAAACAGCAAAGTCTTCCAGAAAAGCACCGTATTTCAACGCTGTGTTACAAAAATCCCAATGGGATGCAAGTCAAACAATAACAACCATAAAACAATGTAGATTAAACTTATCAGGCTAACTCTGTACTACAACAAACAAACATGGTTAAACCAAAACGTTTTCAAAATCACCAAAATAAAGCTATAAAAGCAATGTAACAGTGATCATAGGAACTGTGATTCAAATTTAACAATAAACGATATACATAACATGTACGACCAAACTTTGCAGCCATAGCTGGCTGCATGAGTCACTCCATAACAGCAGGAGTATCAGTAGCAGAATCAAAATATTTCAATACACCTTTATAGATCAGCACACTATAATAAAAACTCAAGATCATACTTTGCAGCGGTCATCCGGAATGATACATTTTATTTCAGGCCATTATGAATAGCAGTTGCAGCTAGGGGTGTACAATTCCTTTAGAGCAGTTTTGAGTGAAGATCTCACAGGTAGTGATCCAAGTTGCAGTTTATTGGCGATAGCATTCCAGACCCTGGGGGCATCAAAAGAAAAGGCCCTTCCTCCAGTGTTTGTACGGCAATAAGGAATGTAAAGTTGGTAAATGAGCGAAGACCTTAGGTCACATTTGTTCTTCGAAAAAGTGAGGAGATCCAGCAGGTAGTCTGCTGATTTTTTTGCAAGTACATCGTGAATAAATAAGATATGATGCACAAGCCGTCGATCATTAAGATATTTTAAGTTTGACCCAATGTAGAGACCGCAGTGATGGGTCCTATTTGGGCAGTTCAATGCAAATCTTAAGGCCGAGTGATAAATTGAGTCAAGCTTCTTCAGTAAAGTACTGGGGGCTGATTTATATACGATGTCACAGTAATCAAGTAGAGGCAGTACGGTAGCTTTTATCAATTCCAAGCGGAACATAGGGGGGAAGCAGTGCTTGTGTCGATACACAAAACCAATTTTTAATTTTGTCTTTCTACCAATATAATGAATGTGATCTTGAAAATTCAGGTCCGGCCGACTGAGCTATATAGTTATTTTTCAGAAGCCACAAGGCCAAAAATGATAGTTTAATGAAGTGGCTCATCGTGTGGAAAATTAAAGCAGCCAAAATACTCTATGTGGATGTGTCTATTCTTGGTTCTTTCGGTAAAGTTACGTCGAAGGGAAATAATAACATTTTAGCTAAAATTAGCTAAAAAAAATTTAAAATTAGCAAAAAATTATTGCTGTAGCTTTCACACCTGATGATTGCTTGTGTTGCAATCGAAACGTCGTGAGAATTTTATTATGTTTTATATTTATTATTTCCCTCCTACGTGACTTTACCGAAAGAACCAAAATATGAATCCCTGCAGTCACGAAAGCTTTACATCGAAATTTGGATGTTTCCAAATGTGGAGGGGAAACCCCGAGGACCTGGAGAAAAATCCACAAGACCCCAGGGAGAAAATACAAATTCTAAATGTACAGCAGGCTTCAGGGTTTGGATCGAACCCACGACCTCCTGCATACCAGGAAGAGGAACGGAGAAACGGGAGCAAAGGGTCAGGACCGATGAGGAGGAGATGGAGGAAGAGGCTGCATCAGGGTCTCGACGCTGGTACTGTACGGAGTAGCAGCGTCTGTTTTGACAGGGGGCGGGGAAAGGGGAGGGGTTCAGAATGGGCGTGGTCACTAATAAGTCACGTGGTTTACGGGAGGGCTTTACCTGATTGAAATATATAGCTACGCCACTGACAATAACCGGGACACTTTAAATGCCTCAGGAACGTTTACAGATTTGCCAGGACGGTTGCCTTAATACTAATCATAATATAAAGAGGACGATCCCAGTGAAAAGCAGGAAAGGTGCCAACCCAACCTCCCCCATGCGGAGACGCGAGGAATTCTATAGGACGCTTGAGTTGATTTACATACTGAAATATACCTATTTGATGATTTGCTTGGCCGATTATCCCGATGTTTGATTGCCTGAATTATTTTATTCGGATGTTGTCTGATTGCTCATCGTGAGTTGGATTGCCTCGTTGTGTGCATGTGCTTGTCCGTGCTTAGAGGCTGTTTGGGGTATTTATTTGCTCATTGTTGGAAGGGGGGAGAGAGGGAGAGGAGGAGGGGGAGGGAGGCGGTGGGGGGGGTGACAGTCGGCTCGTAAAGATGTGAATCTGACCCTTCTTGTAAAATCTCACGATCACTCCCCTCACGTTGTGAAGTCGTGTTTTGGCCTCGGGTTGACACTGGCTTTAATCCGGTCCGGAATTTGATTCGTATCAGTAACCGATAGCGCATTGTGCCGAAATCGAACACCAAACATCTCTCCTTATGTGCAATTTAATCCGGTATGGAATTTGATCGTATCAGGCCATTTCATCAAATCGTGTCCTCCTCCCTCGCCCCTCCTCCGGCTCTTCCACCATATCCTCCTCGTCCATCTCCACCTCATCCTTCCTCATCTCATCTCTCGGCCCACCTCCACCTCTTCCACCACCTCCTCCCCCATGACCTCCATCTCCGCGTTCTTCATCCTCCATCTCCACCACCTCCTCGTCCACCTCCTCTTCTTTCATCCCTCCCCCGCTCATCCTCCTCCCTCCACCTCTTCCACCACCTCCGTGACCTCGATCTCTGCCTTCTTATCCATCTCCACCATCTGCTTCTCCATCTCCTCTTACTCCCCCCCCCCCTCGCCTCTCCTCTTCACTCCACTACCTCCTTTTGATTCTCACTGCCTCCTCCTCCGAACTCATCCTCACTCCGTCCTCCACATATCCTCCACCATATCCTCCACCATATCCTCCACCATATCCTCCACCATATCCTCCACCATCTCCTCCTCATTCCTCCCGTTGTCGCCGTCGTCTTCGTGATCCTGCAGGTTTCCAGGACGTGCACGTGATGATCTTCATTGGCTTCGGCTTCCTCATGACCTTCCTCAAGCGCTACGGCTTCAGCAGCGTGGGCTTAAACTTCATGCTCGCCGCCTTCGGCATCCAGTGGGCCACGCTCATGCAGGGCTGGTTCGAGCACCTGGGTCCGGACGGCAAGATCCGAGTCGGAGTCCTCAAGTGAGGGGCTCTGCAAACACACGGACACGCAAGGACACAAAGACAAAGATCCACTCTGCCCCCTTCCGTATAGCCCAGGTGTTCGGCAAGCAATTTAACATCAGGGGGGCATTTCTTTCGAATTCGGTGCAAAAAAACTAAAAGTCAACTTTCAATATTTCAAGACCCTCAATGGATGCGAATAATGTCACGGGGCAGTCTTTGAAAAGCCGCGACCTGCTACTGTGGAGTGAGTGAGTGAGAGGAGTGGTGGCACAGTGGTTAACGTCACGGTGGCGAGACGTTAACTAGCTCGCCTCGTATGCAGGAAGTCGTGGATTCGAGTCTGACCCTTACGCCTGCTATATGTTTAGGGTTTGCGTGTTTCTCCCCGTGGTCGCGTGGATTTTTTATCCGGGTCCTCTAGTTCCTCCGGGTTTTATCAACCACATTTAGAAGCAACATGCGTTTCGCTTGGTTGGCTGCTATAAATTAAAACATGATGAGTCACTTCGTTGAGCCATCATTTGTGGTTAGGTCGCTTCTGAAAAAAAAATCTATATAGCTCAGTGGGGTCTAACCTGGTAAAAAAAATGTTTTATATAGCTTAGCGCTGCAGGGCGCTACGAACCTGGTGAGCCGAGTTCGATTCATGACCCGACAGCGGTGGTGATGATCTGAACCGGTCTGTCCTGGGGCCTCTTCCCCCTCATCAGGTTCGACTCAGCCGTACAATGAGTAATGTTCATTAAGTGTAATCGTTTTGATATTCACGACAACAGCCCCTTGTGTGCGTGCTGTGTGTGTGTCATTTTATTTAATGGCCACGTGTGAGATACCGAGGGTAGCAGCAGGGTCACCTGACCGTGCAAGTGAAGAAGCACGTGACAGATGCGTTTGAATCGTGTGATTGTGTTTTTTTATTTTTAATTAACGACTACACACGCGTGCGACTAATCCCACGCAATCTCACGGTTACTGGGCAATACTAAAAAACCCAAAAAGTGGCCCCCTCCAAAAGTGCCCTCCCCAATGTCACGGAGTTGCCAATTCGTGCCTTGGCTCGTCGACTGTGCGTACGAGAGAGCGAGAGAGAGAGCGAGAGAGCGAACGAGATTAACCGGGTGCGTTGGCGATGACGGTGATGGATTCATTTTGAGGTTTTTTTTGCTTGTTTGCATTACCAGACAGACAGGCAAACTGTGGCGGGGAGTTTGTTCTAAGGCTTTGTTGCACCGATTGCCATTGGCTCCATTGCTGTAATTTGTATTTATTTATTTAACTATTTTGTTTTGCTTTCATCATGTCGGTGACCCAGCCCCCCGTAGTGCAAATCAGACGCATCCTGGCACTCTGGATATCTCAACCGCTAAACCAAAACCACTTGAACCTGTGCTTGAGCCACACGAGGAGTTCGATGTGTGTACGTTGAACTTCTTTCGCACACGCGCACGTCGCCACCGGCGATGATGAGAGGGGTGCATCCGGACACGTGGAGTGCTGCACGCTCCCGGTGCCGCGATTGTGCGCGAAGTCAAATTAGAGACCGCCGAGCAAACTGCTGTAGCGGCTGCCACCGTTTTGCGTCTTCACGCCGAGATGTGGTTGAAGTAGGGGCGGGTGGGGGGCGGGTGGGGGGCGGGTGGGGGGCGGGTGGGGGGCGGGTGGGGGGCGGGTGGGGGGCGGGTGGGGGGCGGGTGGGGGGCGGGTGGGGGGCGGGTGGGGGGCGGGTGGGGGCCGGGTGGGGGCCGGGTGGGGGGCGGGTGGGGGGCGGGTGGGGGGCGGGGGGGAGGAGGGGGCAGACCAGGGGGGTATTGATGGGGTTGGCGGGGGGGGGCATTGTACCGACGTTCGAATGACAAATACCACGGGGATCACGTGAGTGGAGTCGCGATGGCGTCACAGTCGTGCGCGTCATCCGGGGATCTCGCAGCCACTCGAGGAGCTACATTTCACACCGATTGATCGATATTGGCTCGTGATGATGACTATGGGGACGATGAGGATGATGATGATTGTGCTGCTGTTGATGATGATGGTAATGATGATATTGAAGGTGGTGATGGCGTTGTTGATAATGACGATGATTGACGGCGATGATGATGATGTTGATGCTGCTTCAACGATGATCGTGACATTGGCGGTCACAAAGATCACAGTGAATGATGATTATGACGATGTTCATGTTGACGACGTGTTTCTCGTTTCCACTGAGCACGATTAACGCTTATGATGATCATGATGTTGATTGATGACGATGATGTTGATTGATGACGATGGCGTGTCTCTGATGACGGTAGACTGACGATGACGACATTGATTACAGCAATTATGCTGATAACGTTGTATGAACGTTAAACTTCTTTCGCACTGCACATCGCCAAACGCGCTAATCGGAGGTGCGGGGGAAGGACAACAAACTAATCGCAAGAAGCAGATCTAAAATAAATGAGTTTGTCAATCTGGATTCAAAAGTGCACAGCTCCCAGTGGCTTCCATATACTGGAAGGAAGAGCGTTCCAGACGGCCACAGAAGCGCATCTGAAAGCGCGCGATGCAGTGACCGTCTCTGTTCAACGGTTGACCAAAAGCCGCTGCTGTGAGGATGATTGGAGTTCGCTTGACGATTTATGATGATGATGACGACGATGATGATGACGATGGTGCCGGCTTTCCACTCAGCATGATCAACGCGGACTTCTGCACGGCGTCCGTGCTGATCGCGTTCGGGGCCGTGCTGGGTAAGACCACCCCGGTGCAGATGCTCTTCATGGCCATCTTCCAAGTCACCCTTTTCGCCGTCAACGAGTTCATCATCCTGCACCCGCTCCACGTGAGTCTCTGACGGCCCCAGTCCTCGCTTCCAGTCCGTTACTCAATTGTGTGTGTATTTATATCAGCGCAAGCCTCCGGTAGAATCACGTGACTCACGAGTGCTCACCCCCACCCTGGAACCCCTCCCCCTCTTCCCCACCAAATGTGACAACAGGCGCTGCTCCGTGCGGCTCACTCCTGCTTGCTCCTTCCTTCTGTCTCTCTCTCCATCTCCCCCCTCCGTCATCATCATCATCACATCCTCTCTCATCATCATTTGGGGTGTAATTGTTCACACTTGGAAAGATTTTGGACTCTGACTCCAGCGCACGATTGTCCAAGTCTCGGCGAATGAAGTCACAGGGAATTTGAACATCCACCGTGAACGGTGCATTATCATGTTTCACGGTTCTCATGCACTCATGATATTGACCGGGGCAGCCGCTGGGTTTCGAACCGCGAACCTCTGCAAAACAAGCCGGGAGGGGGCGAATGCGCTCGCACCGGGCCACGTCACCACGCGATGACATCGCCGCTATTATTGTTGTTGCTATAAAGTGACGCTATTGGCTGGGCACTGCGGTGGCAAGATGTTAATTACCTCGCCTGGTATACAGGAGGTCGTGGATTCGATCTTGACCCTGACGCCTGTAGAGTTTGGAGTTTGCGTGTCTCGCTCACCCCGTGGTGGTGTGGATTTTTCTCCGGGTCCTCCGGTCTTTCCCTCCCCATTTAAAATAAACATAATTTGACTGTTACACATTTCCACATTATAACCAACTCTGTTGAGCTATTATTTGCGGCCAGGCTGCTTCTGAAACAAAGCTACACAACTGAGTGGGACCTACCTGCTAAAATAAAACAACAGCTGAGAGTTCAAGTAGTTTATAGTATCATGGTGCGTTGTTGTTGTTGTTGTAGCTGTTGTCATCGCTGTTGTTGTTGTTGTGGTGCAGTGCAACGATGCCGGCGGCTCGATGACGATCCACACGTTCGGCTGCTACTTCGGACTCGCCGTGTCGCGCGTGCTCTACCGCCCGGGACTCAAGGATGGGCACCCCAAGAACGGCTCCGTCTACCACTCGGACCTCTTCGCGATGATCGGTGCGCTTTTGCCAGGACGACCAACACTCCATCCCAGACAGGGCAGAAACAGTTGAGAGTCTTGCTCGACGCCCATGAGCGGTGATTTCACAAACCCTCAATTTGTATGTTGCAGTGATTTCACAAACCCTCAATTCCGCCTCCACGGTGGTCGATTACTTACTGGCTGCCACGTGCGGCAGCAAAGCCACAACCACCGTCACCGCCCTGGCAAAACGATGATAATGATATCTTTTCGCCGCCAAAAAAAAAGACAAAGATCTCCCCGCGTGTAGCATTAACAGACTGTTGGGGAAAGTGCTGTTAGCGAACACCTTTTGAAGACTGGCACAGCCCACGAGGGGGTGAGTGGCCAGCACCACGCTCGGCCGCCTTTGTCTCCCCAGTGCTAGCGATATTTACACACCGCACCAGGTACTCATTTGAGGCTGATGTCGACCTAGGGGAGGCCCAGGACCGGTTCATATAATTGTCACTGGTGTTGGCCGTGAGCGGGAATCGAACTCGGATCGCTGGGTTCATAGCTCTGCTACACTACCGCTCACCACCACCACCACCATCATCTAGCACCACTCATCTCCACCACTACCCCGTATATCCGGGGTAGCACAGTTTGCTACTTACGGTGTGAAAAAGTTCAACACACATTTACATACATGTTGAACTTCTTTCGCACCGTACGTAGCCAACCATGCTAATGAGTCCCAATTCTGTAGTCCTTCCCTCCCTCTCATCCCAGCTGACCTGTGTGACTCCACCGCCACCACCCTCATCTACCACCACCACCACCACCACATCCACCACTACCTGCAACCTCCCTTCCTCGTTCACTCTCATCCCAGCTGACCTGTGTGACTCCACCACCACCACCCTCATCTACCACCACCACCACCACATCCACCACTACCCGCGACCTCCCTTCCTCGCTCCCTCTCATCCCAGCTCACGTGTGCGACTCCACCGCCCAACAGGCACTCTCTACCTGTGGATGTACTGGCCGAGCTTCAACTCGGCGATCTCGGTGACGGGTGCCGACCAGCACCGCGCGGCCATCAACACCTACTACGCACTGACGGCGTGCGTCCTGGCCACCGTGGCCATGTCGAGCCTCCTGGACAAGCGCGGGCGGCTCGACATGGTTAGTCGCGAACCCCTGGGCGGTGGGGGGGGGATGGAGAGATGTGGCAGACAGGGCTAAAATGAAAACGATGTTTAAATTTGTTTTATCTTAATGTTTACTTCTTTTTTATATTTGTATTTATATTATATATTACCAGTTAAGGCCCATGGAGTTATATATATATATGTAGTTTAGCTCCTTTTCAGAAGCGAGCTGGCTATCGCGAATGATAGCTCAACTGAATTGGCTGACACATTATGCGGAAAGTTATGGAAGCCATTAGGAAACCACTCAGCAGCGACTGTGAGATGGAAAATTTGTTTCCGTAGAGCTGCTCTTTGTATTTGGTTTGTCGCCGTTTCCCCGCACCTCCAATTAGCACGGGTGTCTACGTATGGCGCGAAAGAAGTCCAACATGCATATTTACGGACAGCTGAAATAACCCGAGTCTATGTCTCTACGTACCTTGATGTAACGGGGCATTTCCGTTTCCATGCAAGGTCCACATCCAGAACGCGACGCTGGCGGGGGGAGTGGCGATGGGCACGGCCGGGGAAATGATGATCACGGCATACGGAGCTCTAATCGTGGGCTTCGTCACCGGCATCGTCTCCACGTTGGGCTACAAGTATCTCACTGTGAGTTATCATCAGCACCTCCAGCATCATCATCGTTCTCAGCAGCAGTAGCAGCAGCATTGCTAATAGCAGCGGCATCATCATTACTATCGACATTAGCATCATTATCACTGTCATCATCACTATCAGCAACACCATCATCACTATCAGCAGCAGCAGTAAACTTTTCACTGTCAGCAACATCATCACTATCAGCAGCAGCATCACTATCAGCAGCATCATCATCACTATGAGCAGCAGCAGTATCGTCATCATCACAATCGTTAACAGCATCATCTTCATCACCAGCAACATCATCATTGTTAGTAGCATCATAATAAAGTTACAAGTGGTATGAACAACAAATCGATACATTTATTTCACATTTATGTAATTTTGATGCTTTAACGTTAATCGTTAAATCAACATCTTATATTGTCCCTCACTTCATCTATCCACCTACTCCTCCTTCATCTACTCCTTCCTAATCCATGTCTCCATCCTCTCCACCCCCTCCTCCTCTGCCCTTTATAACCCGGCAGCCCTTCATGGCCTCGAAGCTGAAGATACAGGACACGTGCGGGATCCACAACCTGCACGGCATGCCGGGGATCATCGGGGGTATCACCGGAGCCATCACCGCCGCCACCGCGCCGACCAGCGGCACCTATGGCGAGCGGTGAGAGCCTTTGCGATTTCCCCCCCACCCCCCAATCATCCGGTGCACGAGTGTGATAAGACAATAACAACAAGTGCTCAAGTGTTGTTTTTCTACTGATTTCTGTTTGGTTTTTGCCGTACATTGTTTTTATTATGGTACTTTGTCTTCGCTTTTGTCACTTGTGTGACCCAGGTCACTGTAAAACTAAACTATGAACTATTTGTTTATTTGATCAGATTAGGCACCACTTGGCTACATAGCTGAGCAGCCAAATGCTCTGAACGCATGATTCTAAAATGGAGAGGGAAATTCCAGAAGACCCAGATAAAAATCCACTCGGCCACGGGCAGAACATGCAAACTCCGTATGTACAGGCATCAGGGTCGAGATAGAACTCACGACCTCCTGTATACCAGGCAAGGTAGTTAACATCTCGTCATTCTTGCACATGAGACTCCTACTCTGGTCTCTTGAGTTCCTTTCAGCTGGTTACAACAAAATAAACTTGATATTTGAGCTCTCTCACTCATTCACTAATTTATTTACTAACTCATGCAAATGAGATTTGGACTTTAGCAGGCCCCCTGTGTGTAAATCGGACGGCCATCTTACCTGGGGGGTCTGGGCTACGGTAATTAATGGATCAATAGAAATAGGATTCGAGATAGAGAGATTAGTTCAGTAAACTTATTAATACTGTTACGTACAGATTCACAACACTTGAATATATACGTTAAAAGTATGATTTTATATTTTCAATACAAAAATAATATATAGGTTTTGAAATAGTATTTATTTCATATGTAACTTCGACTAAACATAACTCCCTCCCCAGGCAAGATGGCGTTCTTATTTGCATAACAAAATGGCGTCCTACCCTTATCTATTCCATTCTAGCTCCTGCTCGCCCTCACTCCCGTATGCACCCGCAGTGTGGAGAGCCACTTGTTGTTGCTGCTGATGGTGCTGCTGATGGTTCTGCCACTGATGCCACTGCTGATGCTGTTGTTGTTGGCAATTGTGGTGTGTGGGGGTGGTAAAACGTCAAGTCACAAAGGCACCTTGTGCGATATGCAGGTTGAGTGATTCTGTGAGCCGTCGATTAGCTTGCCAGGTAAACAACAGGGTGCCACGGAGAGGTCACTGAGAAGTCATCACGGACCGGCAGCTTCTTGATATCAAAACAGTATTTCCCTTGTTTGGAGTTCGAGTTCAAAATTCTGGTTGGTGGTTGACGCAGCTCACCAGTAACCAACTTTGTGGGGAAGTCAGCAGTTGTCGTCGTCCTATGGGTAAGAGACTCGCCCCCGCCGTAAGGATGTGGATTGTCACCACTGGCTCAGGCGGGGCTCTAGACATGAGATGAGCAACAACACATAAATGGTCATTTGGAGCAGGGAATCGCTTAAACTTATCTCTCAGGCGTGTTGGAGTTCGTCGATTGGAATGTCCCCGTGTGGTGGGCTAAAGCGTGGGTCTGGCCAGCATGAAAGAGACCTTTCAGGCAGCAGTGGCGTGAGCCTAGTTCTGTCAGAATCAGAATCGGAATATTTATTTGAACTGGAAGAATCCAAAGAGCCAAGGCCGTAGTCATGGAGTCAACATTGGGGGGGACCAAATCTTCCAGGGGGTCTGGGGTCCCCCCCCCCCCCCCCCAGAAAAAAAAAATCTAGATTTTACAACTAATTTCATGCCATTTCCTGCCTAAAATATAAAAAAATTCACTAACACATAGGATGGACTTTTTTTTTTACAATAATGTCTAATAGTATATTTTATTACATTGCTCTGTTTTTTTTCTTTTTAAACCTTTTCTTGTTTCATTGTATGCAATGGCAGAGATTAGGGATTAATAAAGTACAAACATAACCACAATCATATAAATAGAAATCTATTTTATAGCAATATATTGGGGGGGACATTTTGAGCATATTTGAATATTGGGGGGGGGGGGATGTGTCCCCCCCCCCCCCCCCAATATATATTATAATTACGACCTTGCAATGGGCTATGAAGCTCCTTTTCAGGTATGTCCAGCAGGGGTAAGAATGTTACAACATGTCAGGGCGGCTCCTTTACCTTCATCTTTAGCCAAGTCCCTCCCAAAAGCCTCCGCGTGTCCCCCACATTTTAAACCTTTTTTGTTAGAAATTAAAAGGCGAATTCTTTAACCCTCGAAACGAGAAAGAGGGGTTTATTCACGTTTAAATTCACATGAGAGTACCAGGGTAAATGTCTTTAACTGCTGAGGGTCGGGGTGGGGGGGTTGGTGTGACCTAGGTCACAAGTCATGAGTTGCAAACAGCTCGTCATCAATTCCATAGGTCTTTGGTGCCCTCCGGTCAGAATAAGCCCTTCACTCAGTGAGATGAGATTGATTAAAATAAGTGACATTCCTCATTCAATTTCGTTTTAAAGCTTTCGTGACTGCAGGGATTCATATTCTTGGTTCTTTCGGTAAAGTCACGTAGAAGGGAAATAATAAAATAATACAAATCAAACATAATACAATTCTCACGATGTTTCAGCCACAACACAAGCAGCCGTCCTCGGGTGAAGAAATAGAGCTGTCGGAAAGACAGCGTCCTAATGAACACTGCTAAGCTTGGCAGCGTATTTTCCGACAGCTCTGTTTCTTCACCTGAGGACGGCTGCTTGTGTTGTGGCCGAAACGTCGTGATAATTTTATTTCATTATGCTTTATTTGTATTATCTTATTATTTCCCTTCTATGTGACTTTACCGAAAGAACCAAGAATATGCCTCATTCACACACAAAGATAAATTCTTGGAGCAAGTGCTGTTAGCGAGCACCTATGAAGGCCGAAACGGCACACGAGGGGATGAGTGGCCAGCAACCACGCCGGACCGCCTTTGTCTCCCCGGTGGTGACCTTAACAGACCGCAACAGGTACTAATTTGAAGGCTGAGTCGACCTAGGGGAGGTCCAGGACGGATTCAGATAATCGTCACTGGAGTTGGCCGTGAGCGGGAATCAAACTGGGTCTCCGGATTAGTAGCATAGCGTGCTAACCGTTGCACTACCACAAACACACACTCACAGACGAACAGATAATATCAGTAATAATAAGTGTATTCATAAAGTACCTGATTGGAAGGATTTCAAAGCACTGTACAATACACAGCGGCAGACATCAGAACGATACCTCATGAAACGAATGAATGGAAAATTTAATTAACTAAATGCTGAATTCCATCTAGTAAATTAATTAAAAGTCGGATAAAGCTGAAGTGTCTTGTGATGTCAGGTTTCACGCTTAATTTGGTGTAACCAGGTGAGACCTCAAAAAGACTGGGACAGAGTCTCATGTGCATGAGTTAGTGAATGAGTGAGTGGGTGAGTGAATGAACGAGTGAATGAGTTCAAGTGGATTTTGGTGTAACCAGGTGAAAACTTCAAGAGACCTGCACACAGTCTCCTGTGGATGATTTAGTGAATGAGTGAGGTGGGTTAATGAATGAGTTGAATTTTGATTTAAAGCTTTCGTGACTGCAGGGATTCATATTCTTGGTTCTCTCGGTAAAGTCACGTGACTTTTATAACAGGCGCATTCTCTGTTAGAACGGGGTGCAGCGGTTCGCTTCTGCGCGCGCGCGCGCAAAAAGTAGTCCTGCGTTGCATTGCGAACACCGTAATGCGCCGTTCGCTATGCAGCACGAGACTACTTTTTGGCCTTTTTTTTTCTTCTTCTTTATTTTGATTTATTTTAACCGCCCCGCGTTGTTTGCGTCGCAGGCTCACGGATACGTTTTCCGTCCTGACCAATCATCCCGAGAGGCTGTTGGGGGGCTTCCAAATGGCCGGCACCCTCGTGGCCATCGCGATGGGGATCGTGGGTGGAACAATCGTGGGTGAGTTTTGGTGTCGAGCACCAGGAACCCCCACCCCGTGCCCATCAATGAGTGTGCGACGTCGACCGAAAGTAGTCCCAACACCGCAGTATAACGTTGCACGCTCACTTATTTTTTGAAAATAATTTTTTTCGATCAGATTTTTCTTTCTGCGTGCGTTTCGTTTGTTGTTTTCCCCCCGCGCGTCCGATGAGCGCGATTGGCTACGTACGGTGGTGCGAAAGAAGTTCAACGTACACACATTGTACACACGTCAGAAGCGGAAGAAGGCAAACGGCATCGAAGCATTCCACAATTGCGGACTTAAAACGAACAAAGAAACTTAACAATGCAACTGTGTGGCAAAATTACATTCAACACTTAAACTCTCGCGACTGTGATCGGAGAGTCAATTCAAATGAAGACAGAGGAGGCAGGATTGGAGAGATGCTACAAGACGAGATGTTGGTGGTTCCAAACACTTTGGGGCATATGCGTGAAAGAAAAAAAACTTCTTGATCCAATCTTGATTTGAAGCTTTCGTGACTGCAGGAATCCATATTCCTTGGTTCTTTCGGTAAAGTCACGTAGGTAGAAATGAAATAAAATAGAACATCTCACGACGTTTCGATCGCAACACAAGCGGTCGTCATCAGGCATCCAAATTGTGTCGACGCGTTACGCATAAGCATCGTCGTCATCATAATCATCGTCGTGGTCAGCCATGGTCAATCCACTGCCGGATGAAGGTGGAATCTGTGCCCGTTGTGATCGCGCAGGGTTCATCCTGAAGCTGCCGATCTGGGACTACCCAGAGGACGAGGAGTGCTATGAGGACGAGCACTACTGGGAGGTGGGCTCCCCACACGCACAGAACGCGTCAACCGATGGCGCGTGTGTAAAACACGTGGCCGCGTGTGTGCGCGCACTTGCCGGCCGGTTAGATTTTGAGCGAGGCGGCCCGAGTTCGATTCTCGCTCACGACCAACACCGGTGACGATTATCTGAACCGGTCCTGGGCCTCCCCTGGGTCGACTCGGCTTCAAATGAGTACCTGGTGCGATGTGTAAACATTGTCACTGGGGAGACAAATGCGGTCGGGCGTGGTGTTGGCCACCCACCCCTTTGTTGTGTGCCGTGCTGGCATTCATAGGTGCTCGCTAGCAGCACTTGCCCCTCCAGTCTGTTAAGGCTATACGGGGAGTCTTTGTCTTTGTACTTGCTGGTTAGCGCGCTGCGCCACTAATCCGCCGGCCCGAGTTCGATTCCCGCTCACGGCCAACACCAGTGATGATTATCTGAACCAGTCCTGGGCCTCCCCTAGTTCGACTCGGCTTCAAATGAGTACCCGGTGCGATGTGTAAACACCGTCACTGGGGAGACAAAGGCGGCCGGGCATGGTTGCTGGCCACCCACCCCCCCGTGTGCCGTGCCGGCTTTCATAGGTGCTCGCTGATGGCACTTGCCCCAACAGTCTGTTTAGGCTATACGAGGGATATTTGTCTTTGTGCGTTCATACGTGTGTGCACTCGCCGTCTCAAAGTCTGTGATAAGCTGTGCGGTCGATCTTTGCTGTTGTGTGCACACTTGCCCCAAACAGTCTGTTTACGCCATACGGGGGGGGGGGGAACCTTTGCCTTTATGCCACTTTCCAGGTGCCAGAGAGCGACGAGGAGTCGACGCCCGCGGTGTCGCCGCAGCCGCCACCCAAACACAACAACGAGCAGGACTTCAACATGACCATCGAGAACGCCAAGGCGGCCGCATAGTGTGTGGTGGGAAGGGGGCGGGCGGGCGGGCGGCGGGGGTGGTGTAGACGCTGTTCAACAACCCCGGGGTGGCCCTCCACCGACACAGATCGCCACCCACCACCTCCTCCTCCTCCACCACCACCGCGCACGTGCCGCACTGTCATGGCGCAGTGCATCACCCGCGAGCACGGCCTTGGCACGTGTCGCTCAACACTTCTCGGCTCCACGGTAAAGACTCGAGAAGGGTGGCACGTGATCTGCTAAAACCGAGACTGGAGGTCTTCTTCTTCATCATCATCACAATTCTGGCGAATCGCCCGATGAAGTCGGCTGTCGGTGTTGTAATCACGAGCGAAGCGTCACAGTTCTCGAAATGTGAATGTGGTGGGTTTACTCTGCCAACGCGCCGGTGTGCTGAACTAGTAACTCGTTGACCACGTTCTGTTTACGTGACAAACCTTACTAGTTGGCTGTGTCGGGTGGTGGCAGGTTTAACGACACATTTATATTTCCTGATGATGCTATTTGTAATTATTGGCGACACGTCGTACTCGAATTGTAAAATGCAGTGGGTTTACTCTCCAACACAACCGGTGTGCTGTACTAGTAACGAATTGGCCACGTTCTGTTTACGTGACAAACCTTACTAGTTGGCTGTGCCGGGTGGTGGCGGGTTTAACGACGCATCTATAATTACGAGATATAACCCCCAAAAAATTACTTTATTATGGATAATATTGGTCGCGAAAGCCTACGTATATAACTGACTGGTAGTAGTTGCAATGGTAGTGACGGTGGTGGTGGAGGCTATGCTGCTGCTTGCTGCGCGTGGCTGCCTGAGATCCGGCTCTCTGAAGGCAGCAGCGAGGGGTCGGTGGGTCACCGCACACACCAATGTTGTCAAACTCCCTTGCCGTGGGTGTCAAGGAGGAGCCTGCCTTACAGCGAATTAAATACTTCAACTGTGTGGGATAGAGCGTTGTCCCCTCACAGGCGTGGGATTTACTCCGGGGTGCTGCGGTTTCCTGCCACGTGTAAGGCCTCCATTTTAATTGACAAACACCTTAATGTGTTTAGGATCGCAGAGCTTTATGGGAAATTACACCTCACGCGCCTGTAGCTTGCTCGCAGTCACGTGCCATCTATATGCTGCAGTCTTAAAAGACTAAAGTAATTTTTATGCTCCGTGGAATAATCGTGCGCGCTATGAATTGCATTGTAATTATGATTATTATTATTTTTAACTATCACGTGGCGAGTGGGTGAGATGGGAGAGAGACGATCATTTTTTCCGGGTCCCAAGCCCAAGACGGACGCGGCTGAAAACGAATTCCTTCGCGGAACCCATTGCCAGTGGCATCGCTTCTCTTCGTAAAGTCTGTGTATCATACAACAACAACAACAACCACAACAGCTCAATCTCAACACGTTCCTCAATAACACCGCATGGCCTTAAAAGGGAACTAAAATGTATAATGGGCGACGCTGAGGGCAGTGGTCCATCACAAGGCAATGCCGTATCAGCGAATAATTTGTGTAAAAACACAAGGTCAGTTTTAGACTTCGTGTGAGTGAGTGAGTGGCATTGACCACTTGCCCCAACAGTCTGTAACAGGCTATACGAAGGCATTTTGTCTTTGTGTGTATGGAGGGGGGGGTGCCGTGGTTAGCGCGCTACGCAACGAACCCGGCGACACGAGTTCGATTCCCGCTCATGGTCTTGGGCCTCTGCTAGGTGAAGATGAGAGGGGGAGAGGTAGGAGAGTGCGTGCAGGGGAGTAGAGTGAGATGAGAGGGGAGTAGAGTGAGATGGGACGGGGGAGATAGGAGAGTTACTGGAAGATCGTGAAGACGTTGAGAGTGAAATTGATGCAGGACCGGATTGGGAGCCAGTGGAGGGACACCCCCCCCCCCGCCCCCTCCCCAGACAGAGATCTCCAAACTCGACTTCAGAGCGCTTCGGGTCCCAAAGCCATGAGCAGTCGTCGCGAGGTCGGAGCATAAATCTTCCTTCAGCAGGGATCGAACCGGGAACTTCCCCGCTCGTGGTTACTGCCAGAAGCCCCAAGGGCGCGGCAGGTGACGACCTCGGGGCAGGAACAAAATGTACTTTTTTTTTTGACGTCCGGAGTTGTTTTGATGTGCCGAGATGTATTGCCTTGTTGATGTTTTATTTGGTTTGTCTTCGTTTCTCAACATCCGCGGAACTAACAAGCCGCGAGACGACGCGACACGCGTCGCTCCGTGCACCACAATAAACACATTGTCCTGCGGAGGGAGCTGGTAGGAACGTTGGGTTGCTCGGTCAATGGCCAGGGTCAACGGCGGCGTGGTGTATTCCGTAAATATAGCCGACTGAGGGCGGGCACAAGCCGGCGTGAGTAGGTTAAACGTTGAGTTTTATTAGGGCACCACGGGGTGACCAGCCCCTCCCCACCCAACTCCACCCCCCAACCCCTTCCCACCCTCCCCACCCAGCCCCTCCCTGCACGACGGACAGACACAATAATCCCCTGTGGGCTAGTGTAACCAGGAGGTTCCTACCAGTATAATATTAATATATATATTATTAATACTGTTATACTTACTTTGCACTTCATTATATTACTTAATATTATTAAGTATTAAATTATACTCATATATTCCACGCATACAAAAACATTATACTTAATATTATTATACCTACTATAATCACCCAGGAATGTCCTTAACGCTCGTGACGTCACTACACATTGACCAGCCCCCCTCATTAATATTCATGAGCAGGTGACGTCACTCCAGATCGAACAGCTCCCTTCATCTATATAAAAGGGAAATTTGTGATTGTGTGTGTCTGTTCAAAATGTTTTAGCGTTATTCCCGACATGCAACAAACTTGAAATTTGCCATGTGGGTACTTTCCAGACTGTACACCATGCAATAATTATAAAAATACACTTTTGTATTTTTTGGGGGGGGGGGGGGAGGGGGGGGGCGCAATAATGCATATATTTTGCACGGCAAGTGAGCTGTGACGTCACATCTGTGATGTCACCCGCATGCGGAAGCGTAACGCAGTGTGCCTGCTGACGTCACGCACCCCCCCCCCCCCCACAAACCCTCCACGAGTAAAGTGTCATACAAATGTGTTGCAGGTCTAAGGCGTTCTTTGCGCAGCATTCGTTTATTATTTGAGTCGTTTACTGCCGTACGCAACCTGAAAGTTGTATGAGTCTGCTGCAAGCGCGTGTATGTGTACCTATGGATGCGCGTGTGTATGTGTGTGTGTGGGGAGCGGTGGTGTAGTGGTTAGCGCGCTGCGCTAAGAACCCGGCGACCCGAGTTCGATTCCCCCTCACGGCCACCACCGGTGACGATTATTTTAAGCGCTCCGTGGGCCTCCCCTAGGTCGACTGGTTAATATATATTTTAATACTTTGTGTATACCACCAAGGTAAATTTTAGACGTTGTCTTTTATTAAGTAATATTAGTATCATATTAATATATTCATTCTAATAAATAATTAAGTATAATTAATCGATGCATTGCACTTCAGTTGAGGGCATTCCACGCACACGCTCCAGCAAAAACCAGCCGCAACAAACATTTTCACTTTCATCCACCCATATCGATCGCTCCTCTGTGGACAGCAAGGCCGTAATTATAATATATATTGAGGGGGGGGGGGAACACATCCCCCCTCAATATATATTCAAATATGCTCAAAATGTCCCCTCCAATATATTGATATATGTAAATAAAAGAAACGATTTGCTAAACCTTGGTCACAATATCTGGACTTGTCTTCATATAAATCAATGCATATATTTATGTTAATATGATTGTGGTTATGGTTGTACTTTATTATGGTTGTACTTTATTAATCCCTAATCTCTGCCATTACATACAATGAAACAAGAAATGGTAAAAAGTAAAAACAGAGCAATATAATACAATACACTATTAGACATTATTGTAAAAAATTTAATAAAAAGTCCATCCCATGTGTTAGAAAATGTTTCAATATTTTAGGCAGGAAATTAGCTTTCAAATTTAGATATTTTTTCTGGGTTGGGACCCCCAGACACCCTGGAAGATTTGGTCCACCCCAATGTTGACTCCATGGCTACGGACTTAGTGCACGGTGGTTTTGTAAATTCTGTATTCGAGTGCGTGAACCTCTGGGGTGACTTCTCCCTCTTCGCTGGCCTCATCGGAGGCGGCCATCTCGCGTGACAAACCAGCGTTGCTTGTTTACCAGATGTTGTTGGTGCGAGATCGCCCCCCCCCTCCGCCTCAACTCCCCCTTCTCTCTCTCTGTCTTTCTGCTCTGAACGACCGAGTCCCTGTCGGACGCGAAGAAGCACCGGCGTTGAATTAAAGCCGCATTGTGATTGATGAACCGCTGTTGGGCGTTCTGTTTCCTGTTGTGTGTGCAACAACAACAACAATAATCGTCCATCATAATGAGGCGCACATCCGGTCTATATGAAGATAAAAGCGCAGTCCTGCGTTTGCTTGCTTGCGCCACTGCTGATCGAAGGGCCTCTACGAAACGAGGCTCGCGGTGGCTAGGAGATGTTAACTACCTCGCCTGGTAGACAGGAGATCGTGGGTTCGATCCCGACCCTGACAACCTGCTGTAGATTTGGAGTTTGCGTGTCTCTCTCTCATCATCATCGCGGTGGCTAGGAGATGTTGACTACCTCGCCTGGTCGACAGGAGATCATGGGTTCGATCCCGACCCTGACACCTGCTGCATATTTGGAGTTTGTGTGTCTCTTTCTCTCATCATCATCATCACCACCACGGTGGCTAGGAGATGTTCACTACCTCGCCTGGTCGACAGGAGATCATGAGTTCGATCCCGACCCTGACGCCTGCTTCATATTTGGAGTTTGTGTGTGTCTCTCTCTCATCATCATCACCACGGTGGCTAGGAGATGTTAACTACCTCGCCTGGTCGACAGGAGACCGTGGGTTCGATCCCGATCCTGACGTCTGCTGCTCTATATTTGAAGTTTGTGTGTCTCTCTCTCTGTGGGCGCATGTATTTTTCTACGGGTCCTCCGGTTTTTACCTTCAAGTTTCGAATCAACATCACGCGTTCATAGTATTTGGCTACTGCCATAAATGTCCACGTGATCATGAAGCCGCCACGTTGAGCCATCATTTATGATGGCCAGGTCGCTTCTGACAAAGAGCTATATGTAGCTCAGTGGGCCTGAGTTGGTCAAATCAAAAACATGTTTTAACAACCTACCTAAGTCCCCCCCCCTCTTCCCCTACCCCCCGCCACCACGAATCTACAGGGCTGCCCCACGCCCAGAGCCACCCAGCCACCTTACACTCGACAATCCTCTCTCTCTCTCCTCTCTCTCCTTCCCTGCCCGAGGGGGTCTGAACACATCGGCTCAGAATACGCAGCGCTCCCCGTGGGGGAATGCGTAAGACGCTGCCACGCTCCGCGCTGCTTGACCTCGCGTGTTTGTGTGACAGCGCAGAGCCGCGTGACAACGCCACCCTCGTTTGGGGTGGGGTGGGGCGGAGCTCCTCATCCCTCCAGACACAGCTAGGCAGCCCACGTGGCCGGGAGTTCGTGGTGGTGGTGGTGTTGTGGCTAGGAGATGTTAACTCACGTCGCCTGGTATACAGGAGGTCGTGGGTTCGATCCCGACCCTGACGCCCGCTGTATATTTGGAGTTTGCGTGTATCTCTCTCTCATCATCATCACGGTGGCTAGGAGATAACTACCTCGCCTGGTATACAGAAGGTCGTGGGTTCGATCCCGACCTTGACGCCTGCTGTATGTTTGTAGTTTGCGTGTCTCTCTCTCTCATCATCATCACGGTGGCTAGGAGATGTTAACTACCTCGCCTGGTATACAGGAGGTCGTGGGTTCGATCCCGACCCTGACGCCTGATGTATATTTGAGTTTGCGTGTCTCTCTCTCATCATAAACACGATGGCTAGGACATGTTAACTAACCTCACCTGGTATACAGGAGGTCGTGGGTTCGATCCCGACCCTGACCCCTGCTGTGTTTATGGAGTTTGCGTGTCTCTCTCTCTCATCATCATCACGGTGGCTAGGAGATGTTAACTACCTCGCGTGGTACACAGGAGCTCGTGGGTTCGATCCCGACCCTGACGCCTGCTGCTGTATATTTGTAGTTTGCGTGTCTCTCTCATCATCATCACGGTGGCTAGGAGATGTTAACTAGCCTCGCCTAGTATACAGAAAGTCGTCGGTTCGATCCCGACCTTGACGCCTGCTGTATGTTTGGAGTTTGCGTGTCTTTCTCTCTCATCATCATCACGGTGGCTAGGAGATGTTAACTACCTCGCCTGGTACACAGGAGGTCGTGGGTTCGATCCCGACCTTGACGCCCGCTGTATGTTTGGAGTTTGCGTGTCTTTCTCTCTCATCATCATCACGGTGGCTAGGAGATGTCAACTACCTCGCCTGGTACACAGGAGGTCCTGGGTTCGATCCCGACCCTGACGTCTGCTGCTCTATATTTGTAGTTTTCGTGTCTCTCTCTCTCTCCCCATCGTCACGTGGATTTGTCTCCGGGTCCACCGGTGTTTCTCTCCACGTTTAAAAACATGCGTTTAAAGTATTTGGCTGCTGCTTCGTTGAGCTATCAATTGTGGCCAGGTTGTTTCTGAAAAAGAACTAAATAGCTCAGTGGGCCTCACGTGGTAAAATTAAAAAACATGGTTCAGTTTTAAGTTTGTTGTTGTTGTTGTCGTTGCTGCTGTTGTTGTATAAAGTGCATACTTGCAGCCACGGCGACGGCGATAACACTGATAGTGAAGCGTGAGACGATGCATGGATTTGCAATCGATGCGAATCGCGCAGATTCACGTTTGTGCAATATTTCTGATGACTCGTGTGACGCAATTGTAGTTGTTTTTCACGAGCATATTTCTGTTTGCTTCATTGCCCCGTAACCTAATTTGAGATTCGCTTTTTCACTTCCTCCCTTGAAATGTCTTGTGACCCGGGTCACTCTTGCACGTGAGACTCATTCAGCCTGTCCTCATTGTGAATTGTCGTTTGGTTTAAACGAAATAACCTCGAACTATATATGTATATATATCGAACGAAAATCATGATCGTTGTTAACTTTGCGTATCTTCCGCATACAGGTCGGACCGTACTGCTTCTTGTCGTGTCCGTCCACCAAATTCAAAAGTCCTCCCAAGTGGGCGCCGTGGTGGCGATGAGATGTTAACTCCCTCGCCTGGTATGCAAGAGGTTGTGGGTTCGATCCCGACCTTGACGCCTGCTGTATACAGGTAGTCCTCTACTTACGATGGAGATGCGTTACGACGACCCCATCGTATGTCGAAAATATCGTAAGTCGAAGATGGCCTAGCCTACCCAGGAGTCTTCAAGAATGGTGATAATTTAGCAAAACAGAGCAATTTACAGAACCGTACTGTATAAACTATATAATGTATGTATTTATTAATTACAATACTGTATTGTACAGTAAAATATAAAGTAAAAAAACAAGGTAAATTCTTAGCCTACCTATATGAACTGCAATTTAATAGAAAGTTTTTTTCAGGAAACAATCCTATGTGCTATAAAAAAAAACTTTTAACATGCATTTTTCGATTTAAAGCTTTCGTGACTGCAGAGATTCATCTTCTTGGTTCTTTCGGTAAAGTCACGTAGACTTTACCGAAAGAACCAAGAAGATTTTAACATGCATTTTGTCGTATCACCATCGTAAGATCGAAATATCGTAAGTCGGACCATCGTAACTCGGGGACTACCTGTAGTTGCAGTTTGCATGTTCTCCGGTCCTCTGGGGGTTTCCTGCCACATTTAGAAACATGCGTTTAGATTATTGCGATTATTTGGCTGCTATATATTTTCACGTGGTGAGCCACTTTGTTGAGCTATCATTTTGTGGCTTGTAAAAATAGCGAGTGGGCTTTACCTGGTTAAACAAAAAACAAGCTTTGTTGATATTCTTGGTTCTTTAGGTAAAGTCACGTAGAAGGGAAATAATAAAATTATAAAAATTAAACAATACAATTAAATTCTCACGACGTTTCGGCCACAACGCAAGCAGCCGTCCTCAAGTGAAGAAACAGAGCTGTCGGAAAGTTGCTAACCTTGGCAGCGTATTTTAAGCTGGGTGGGAGGAGGAGAGAGCCTTGACAAAGGAGTTTACATATCAACAGAGACATTTTGCATATTGATGAGAAATGCAGACATGGGTTTAGTCACTCCTTGCGGAATGTGTAGACAGTGGGGAGTCTCAAAGTCATGTTATAATAGTGTATTATGTAGGATTAGCAGTGATAAAGGGAGGGAAATTTTAATAATAAAGAACTGCAGCAGCCAAACCACCGCGTATCAAGCTAGTGCATGATGTGGAAAACTTAAAAGAAGTTTCTAAAGAACTACAAATACCCTACTACCATACAATAAACCGATGGAAAAAACTAAATATAAACTACATCAATATGATCAATGTACTTAATAAACTCTCCAATAAGCTGAGCTATTAACATTAAGTAACTGGGTATACACGACACTATATAATGACTACCATATAGTAAACTGATAAAAAAAACTAAAAATATAAACTACATCAATATAATCAATAAACTCAATATACTCTCCAATCAGCTGAGCTACTAACAATGAGTCACTATACATTACAAGTGACGGTTTCTTTTATTATTATTATTCTTTGATTTTTTCCCTTCTACGTGACTTTACCGAAAGAACCAAGAATCCTACTCGCTAACAGCACTTGCCCGAACCGGTTGTGAAGGCTATGCGGGGGGGGGATCTTTGTCTTTGGTGTTGCTAAGGGCCTGTGGTGGCGGTGTCGTTGAGGATGCTCCCAAATCGAAATTTAGGCTTTGTTGAGTTAAGCTCAGGGTTTCGCAGGTCGTCTGCTCCAATATCTTGCGCACTTAACTTTATACAAAGATCCCTGCCGTTTAGCCTTAAGGATCATTCCTCGGGCAGACGAAGAGGTGTCTGTGTCTCTCTCCCCGAGTCGCAGCAGCAGTAGCAGCTCGCCATGTGACCGAGTTGAACCTTGACTTGCCGACTTGGGTGCGGCAGGAGTCGATTCAGTGTTCCACGTGGGTCCGGTGGTGGTGGTGGTGGGGGGTGGTGGTGGTGGTGGCGGTGGTGGTGGTGGGTGGTGGCGGTGGGGGGTGGTGGTGGTGGGGGGTGGTGGTGGTGGTGGCGGTGGTGGAGGGTGGCGGTGGTGGTGGGGGGTGGTGGCGGTGGTGGTGGGAGGTGGTGGTGGTGGCGGTGGGGGGTGGTGGCGGTGGGGGGTGGTGGTGGTGGTGGGGAGTGGTGGTGGTGGTGGCGGTGGGGGGTGGTGGCGGTGGTGGTGATGGTGGGGGGGTGGCGGTGGTGGTGGCGGTGGGGGGTGGTGGTGGTGGTGGCGGTGGGGGGTGGTGGGGGGTGGTGGTGGTGGCGGTGGTCGTGGTGGCGGTGGGGGATGGAGTTGTTCACACGCTTGAACGATGCTGGTGGCGATCTCAACACCAAAGGCGTCCGAGTCAATACTCTTTGGTTCTTTCGGTAAAGTCACGTGACTTTACCGAAAGAACCAAAGAGTATAGATTCCTGCTGTCACGAAAGCTTCAAATCAAGATTGCGTCCGAGTCAATACTCTTTGGTTCTTTCGGTAAAGTCACGTGACTTTACCGAAAGAACCAAAGAGTATGGATTCCCTGCTGTCACGAAAGCTTCAAATCAAGAATTGCGTCCGAGTCGCTCCCACCACGTCGACCTCGCGGTGTTGTTATGGGGAGCGGCGAGCCGAGTTCGATTCGCGTTCACGGCCGCCTACTGACGGTTATCTGAACCGCTCCCGGGCCTCCCCCAGGTCCACTCGGCCTCAAATGAGTACCTTGTACGATGAATACACTTCGACACTGGGGAGACAAATGCGGTCGGGCGTGCTGCTGGCCACCCATTCCCTCGTGTTCCGTAGCGGCCTTCATAGGTCCTACTCACTAATAGCACTTGCCCCAACCGGCTGTGAAGGCTATGCGGGGCGGGGGGGATCTTTGTCTTTGGTGTTGCTAAGTGCCTGTGGTGGCGGTGTCGTTGAGGATGCTCCCACGTGACCTCGAGGCGTTTGACCGCAGCTGCGTTGGCTGTGTCAGAGGCTCCGTCTCGTGTCAGAGGGTCCGTCTCGTGTCTTCGGTGTCTCTTTCGTCGTGGTCGCAGCCTCTCCGCTCGACTCGACGCGGCCCTCTCTCTCCGAGGGTGTCCGGTGACGCTGTGCGGATTGTTGGAGGCGGCCTGGAAAGATTCGCGCCTCGGTCGGCCGCGTACGGCGCGAAAAAAGTTCAACGCACAGCACGTGCGTACGTGCGACAGGTGTCGTTGAGTGGAGCGTCGATTTTGTTGCTGTTGTTGTTGTTATCATTTGCCTTTTGCTTTGGCCCCAATCGATCCCAGACTGGGCAGTCGCTCTCTAGCGCAGGAGTAGCGCAATGCTCTCTCCTCTGACGCCTGGACTGTGGCCGGGTTTCCTCCCCCCGTGGAGAGCGTGGCAGCTTGCGGATGGTGATGAAGATGATGATATTGCGGGAGCTGACATTTCCTCTCCTCGGCGTAGACCAGGGGATCGGCAAACGAAATAACAAGACGAGCCAAAAAAAAAATTCGAATTTGATTTAAAAAAGTGTATTTATATATATCCAGAGCTGCGTTGAGTGTGACTACGAGACGGCATGGGTCCTTGATAATTAACGGGCACGAAGCAGCCCTGAAAGAGCCGCATGCGGCTCAGGAAACCGCAAGGTGCCGACCCCCCTGGTCTAGAATGAGAGCGTGCGGTCAGGATCGCTGCAAGGTGTCGAGACGCAGCTGGTGCAGCCACGGCACTCCCCACTGCCATCTCCTCGGCCGCTCATCCTCGCCGCCTGGCGTTTGACGGTGGTGGCGAAGCCGGCAAGAAAATAAATAGAGCCGGCTGCTCCTATTCCATGCGCTCGTCTCCCAGCTACAACCTGGCCTAACTCAACCCCCTATCACTACTCCTATCAGGACTCCTATCACTAGCTCCATCACTACCCCTATCACTACCCCTATCACTACCCCTATCAGTAGCCCCATCACTAGCCCCATCACTACCCCTAGCACTACCACTACTCTTCCTGAACCACTCCTGTCGGTTCTCCTGTCACCATAACTACACCACCACCACTTGTAATAACAACCCCACTTCTCTTTATTATCCCAACCACCACCATTGTACGTACGATTGTTTAATTTACGTAAATCGCCTGGGAATGATGCGCTATTCTAAATCTAGATAAGAAAATATATTATAAATTGCAGCCAGCACGTTCTTTGCACGTGACTGTCGGTCTCCAGCCAGCAAAACTTTTTTGTTGTTAAAATATAGTTTAAGGAATGATAATCACCTGCACGAAATAGAATTGACTCACCCTCGCCACAAGAATGTGAATCGCCACCCGCTGGCTTGAGAGGCCACAACATAAACAGGAGACGAACACCCTGCCTCGCATTTGAAAGAGGAAGGTGACGGAATGACTAAACCACGTTTGTTTTTAATGGACCTATGGGGCCCACGCCTCGCTGTAGGCACAAAGACAAAGATCCCCCGTATAGCCTTAACAGATTGTTGGGGCATGCGTGCACACAAAGATCAACACACAAAGATCTCCCATATAGCCTTAACAGACTGTTGGGGCAAATGCTGTTTGCGAGCAACTATGAGGGCCGGAATGGTTCACGAGGGGGTGGGTGGCCAGCACCACGCCCGACCGCCTTTGTCTTCCCAGTGGCGATGTTTACACCGCACCAGGTACTCATTTGCGGCCGAGTCGACCTAGGGGAGGCCCAGGACCGGTTCAGATAATCGTAACCGTTATTGAACCGTGAGCGGGAATCGAACCCCGGGTCGCCGCATTCATAGCGCAGCGCGCTAACCGCTCCCCACCGCTCCCCACCCAGCGAAGACACACAACAACACAACAACACACAACAATATACCCCGCCACTCGGACCGGTCAGACGGAGATAAATCCACGCGATGCGGGCTGGGACGTGAGCCGAATGAGCGCGGGTGATGCAGATGTTGTGGATATCGTTTTGAAGAAGAAGAATAAGAAGCCAGCCAGACTGGTTTTCGAGTACTCGGTTTCCTATATAAGGGGGCACACGCGAACACAGGGCAATGCGAGTGAGGGCGATCGTGCAGACCGCACGCATGATCGACAGCGAGTGCGCGCGTGTGGGTGTGTGTGTGTGGGTGTGTGCCTTCGTTGGTGCTCGCTGCGTAACAGCACGTGCCCCGACAGTCTGTTAAAGGCTGCGTGTGTGAAAATATATATCTGATATAACAAATTGTGCTCATCAAAGTTGCGTTGTAATTGAGTCTTAAAATTGAAGTGGGATCGTCCGTTTATCTTTGTTTTTACAAAAACAGCATAACTACGCAGAAACATACAGAGCCGCGTTCGTTACGCACACGTACACAGCCACACTATACACTCAGACACATATGTAAATATACATACACCAACACACCCACAGACAGAATATACATATTCGCATATGCAGTCACAAGCACACACGTATATGCAAACGCATAGGGACGCGTACCCACTCACACATAAAGCACACACATTTACGCACCTTCAAATCCACGCGCGTTGTGAGACCATCGCTGTGAGAAGTTGCAAATCACAGCCGCACAATCACAGGCGGCCACACAAGCAATTACACAGCCACTCAATCACACACAGCCACTCAACCACACTCAACCACACGCAACCACGCAGAGCCGGACAGCCACAAGGCAGCGTAACCGCACGCAAATCGCGACCGCGCGCGACCGCACGCGATCCGAATCATGGGGATTAATCCGACGATGTATAGGATCCGCTTGCCGGCGCTCGCGATCTTCTTCCAGTTCAGCATGATCGTGCTCTTTGGGGTGTTCGTGCGATACGACGACTTCTCGGACCCCATTCTGTCTTACGAGAAGAACCTGACGGGAGAAGCAGTCGCCAAGAACGAATTCTACTTCAGATACCCAAGTAAGCCTCGTCCTCAACTCGGTGGTGGGCGGAGGAGGGGGGGGGTCATCGTCCCATCCGATGTAGAAGTTTGCAGTCTTACGACTCTTGTCGTCCGCTCCATCGTCTCTGGCGTCTCCATATTGGGCTGCTATGAAGGAGGGCCTTGCCCCGAACCGTCGGATACTTTTCTTACACGCAGATAGATTCTGTGTTCATCGTCTTAGTTCTTTCGGTAAAGTCACGTAGAAGGGAAATAATAAAATAATAAAAATTAAACATAATAAAATAATTCTCACGACGTTTCGGCCACAACGCAAGCAGCCGTCCTCAGGTGAAGAACAGGTCTGTCGGAAAGACAGCGTCGTGAGAATTGTATTTTATAATGTTTTACTTTTATTATTTCATTATTTCCCTTCTACGTGACTTTACCGAAAGAACCAAGAAGATGAATCCCTGCAGTCACGAAAGCTCTAAATCGAAAGATTATTAGTTATGAAGGGCCATTGACTGAAACGTCGCCTATTGAGATCCGGGAAAGCATCTATGTCACGGAGGTTCATTGCCTGAAACGTCGCGTATTAAAAGCCAGACAGCTTATGTGCTATGAAGAAGGGCCATTGCTCGAACCGTCGATTCTATTATTAATATAGTTTATACTTTTAAGGACCGTGTCATTGAGCAGCGTGTTCTAGCTGCTACCGTCTGTGTTTGGTCACCAGTGCTAGGCGGAATATCACGATGTTGGTTTAAACTATTCTTAAACTAAGTTTAGCACGTAGGCTCTCGCGACCAGTATTATTCATATTAATGGTTTTTGGGGTTTGATCGCGCAAGTATAAATGTGTCGCAACCCTCCACCACCCGACACTGCCAATCAGTAAAAAGTGTGTCACGTTAACAAAACGCCAATTAGTTACTTCTTCAGCTCACCGGTGTGTTTGAAGAGTGAATCCACAACATTTACAATTTGAGTAGTACGACGTTTCGCTGGTAATTACATCCAGCATCTTCGGGCGATTTGCCAGAATAGTGAAGCCATCCACCTGCTTCCGGTCTTAAATAGTGCAGCAGGACGACCTCATCATCGTTGAACCCCATCAGGTTTCGAGATCAGAGGCGGAGGTGGGGGGGGGTATTGTAATTATATAAAAGATTAGTAATCAGTTACTTAGTATGGGATTCCTCTATGAGGAATTGTAATAGGTGTTGTGTATTTACTTAATAATACGCTTCCAGGCTGCGCTAAGCATGGGTAGAAAAAACCCGATTTTTCCAGCGGCAGGCATCGGGTTTTTTTCTTTAATAAACCCGATTTCGGGGAATTAAAACCTGGTTTAATGAATACGAAACTCTGATAGGCTTAGGCTGCTTCCTCGTCAGTGCTGCTATCGTACTCGTGGCCGTCGGGCACGGGGTAGTCTTAGAATGCGGCGGGCAGGTTGGTCTTGATGAACACGAGCTTCTCCTCCACAATCGTGGGCGCCAGTGAGTTCCTTAGCTTGGAATGGATGAAGCCCATCGTTGAGAAGTTGGCGAAGTGCGGTTCTGCAATTAGAACCAATTAAACCGTATTTCTCCCAATCTCAGATGATCGGGTTTAATATAAAAAGACAATTAAACCCGATTGTAAAAAACCCGACTGTGCCATCCTTGGCGCTAAGTCTGTAGCTATCGGAACGGTTAAATTTATTTGTATTTCTCTTAATTTCGATGGGTTCTCTAATTAGTCTTGGCCAGAAATAATTAATTTTGCATAACACTTCAACGTTATCAAAATCAATTGAGTGTCCTTGTTGGCAAGCATGTTCTGCCACTGCCGACAGTTGTGTTTGAGATAATTTAATGTTCCTGTGGTGTTCTATTAGTCTGACGCTAATGTTACGTCCCGTCTGTCCAATATAGCATTAACCGCATAAGCAATTGATCCGATATACACCCTCTGTTGATAACTTAGGTAAATCATCTTTAGTACAAGACACTGGTTCACATCTCCTAGCCACCGTGGTGGTGATTAAAAGAAACACGCAAACTCCAAAAATACAGCAGGCGTCAGGGTCGGGATCGAACCCACGACCTCCTGCATACCAGGCGAGGTGGTTAACATCTCCTAGCCTCTGTGGTTTGCATGATGAGTACAGACGATCGCGGGACAGAGTGAGTGCTGCCGGTTCCAACGAGGCTCTTCGTGGTGGGCGACAGAGTTGGAATTCTCGAGGCACAGACGTGATAGTGGGGTCACGTAGTTAAAAAAATAATTAAAATTAATAAAAGTAAAATAAAAATAAAATAAAAATCACGACGTTTCTTTATTTTTATTTATTTTTTAAATTTTACTTTTATTCATTTTAATTAACCTACGTGACTTTACAGAAAAAACCTAAGAATATGAATACTTGCAGTCACGAAAGCTTCAAATCTAGAAGAAGTGATAGTGGGGGTCGAGCGTGATCGCTCGGGACAATCTGGATGTTAAGGGTGAACGTCGGTCTCACCCAAACGTGCAGCACTTTTGTGAAGTTTCCGCTGTCGAAATTGTAATTGTGACGTTTAAGCGATTCACACGCGCAATTTTTTTGGCATGCATATAACATTTTCACGATTTCATATGTTTGCTAAGCAAACTATATGTATGTATATATTTAAAAAACATATGTTTCCGGAAAACTGCCTTGTAACAAAACAGAAAAAAAGACAGAAAGACAAGTAGAGTGGGGTTTTTAAAATATATTTTTAGCTCTGAACTTAGAGGAAGTGTAATCGAGGTGAAATTTTGTCACATTGACATTTTTTTCTTTAAAAAGTGACCACCAAACGCGGCCGATGTTTTCCACATCGGCAACCCCCCACCCCCCCAATGTTTCAAGAGCCGCAATGCACAATGTGGTGAATGCGAGACGGTGGGGACCTTTAATACATAGTCACTAAGCAGTCCTTCATGAGCCAATCCCTGCCGATGGTGAACTGGACTCCCATGGTGAACTGGACTCCCAATGTAAGCTGGACTCGCATGGTAAACTGGACTCCCATGGTGAACTGGACTCCCATGGTGAACTGGACCCCCATGGCGAACTGGACTTTCATGGTGAACTGGACTCCCATGGTGAACTAGACTCCCATGGTAAACTGGACTCCCATGATGAATTGGACTCCCATGATGAATTGGACTCCCATGGTGAACTGGACTCACATGGTGAACTGGACTCCCATGGTGAACTGGACTTCCATGGTAAACTGGATTTTCATGGTGAACTGGACTCCCATGGTGAACTGGACTTCCATGGTAAACTGGACTCACATGGTGAACTGGACTCCCATGGTCAGGGGTCGCCAACCAAAATAACAAGAAGAGCCATTTCCTTTTCTATCAAGAGCCGCGCAGCAGCCCTTAAAGAGCCACACGCGGCTTGGGAGCCGCAGGATGCCGACTCCTGCACGAGTCGAAGCTGATCAAGTGTCTCCAGTTGTGCAATAGTGTCTGCTGCTGTGGGTGCTGTTGTTTCCACTGCTGCTGCTGTTGCTACTGCTGTTGCTCCTGCTGCTAGTGTTGCTACTGCCGTTGCTGCTGCTGCTGTTGCTACTGCTGTTGCTACTGCTGCTAGTGTTGCTCCTGCTGCTAGTGTTGCTACTGCTGATAGTGTTGCTACTGTTGTTGCTACTGCTGGTGTTGCTACTGCTGGTGTTGCTACTGCTGCTGGTGTTGCTTCTGCTGCTAGTGTTGCTACTGCCGTTGCTGCTGCTGCTGTTGCTACTTCTGCTGCTGTTGCAACTGTTGCTACTTCTGCTACTACCTTTGCTGCTGCTGTTCTTGCTACTTCTGCTGCTGTTGCTACTGATGTTGCTACTGCTGCTAGTGTTGCTACCGCTGTTGGTGTTACTACTGCCGTTGCTGCTGCTGCTGTTGCTACTGCTGTTGATACTGCTGTTGCTACTGCTGCTGTTGCTGCTGCTGCCTTTTGCTACTGCTGCTTTCTCTGTCGACTCTTGCAGGACTCCTCTCGTGAAAATACATTTTAAAGAGGCTGCTTCGTCAGACGTTGTATTTTTGTTCCTCTTTAAGTATTTCGCTGCTCGTTTTTTTTCATTTGTTAGCGACGTTCATCGTCTCGCTATCCGGCAAATAACCACGTGCACTGCCCGCGCAGATGTTTGCGGTGACGTCACCACCGCGCGTCATCATAGCCAGGCAGCCAGCCAGCCTGTAAAACTTTAATATTTTGTTGCTGTTGTACTAGTGCGGTACGATAAGCAAGGGCAGGGGTGCAATGGCGCGCAAGCACACACCCAGCACAGAGCACCAACACGAGACGCACCGCCCCGTGCAGAACGCGCACGCTGTTGTTGAGAACGCGTGACCATGAAGAGCGCCCAGAGACGTTTGAGTGACGTTTTGTTCGTGATGCTGCGTTGGCAAATCGGTCCACAGAGCACCGCTGCCAACCGCAGAGACCCCCTGCGCAGCATTCGTCCGTTAATAGCAACGCTGCTCCACGAGGAAAAAAACGGGCGACGTTTCGGGCAATGACCCTTCTTCATATGCAAGAGAGATGCTCGTGTTATTTGTTGTTGTTGTTGTTGTTATTGACGAACATTGGAGTGACCCAGCAACGCTCGGTGGGAGCTTCGTTTTAGGTCCGTGCACAGCTCTGCCACTACCGCTTTAGAGGCCACGGTCAACATCCACTGCTGGATGAAGGCCTCCGCTGCGCCGTGTTCCGTAGCGGGAGCTGTTTGACCGACCGACCTTCGCCGCCCACTCTACTCGGTGCGGCTTGGGGGAGCGAGGCGCAGGTCTCGAGGCAGGATGAGGAGGAGGGGAGGAGGTGTTTGTTGGTTTCGCGCGAATCGCTTATGCCCACTGATGTTATCCGTGGCCCGTGAACGGAAGCCACTGGAGGGCGGGCGAGTTCGTAGCGCACGAGTGCCAACCACTGCGTCACCCATTCACCACGTGCCTCCCCTCCGAAGTCAGACGTGTCAGAATCAGAAGTCGATTATTATTGTTGTTTCCGAGTAAATTACCCCCATTGAAGCTTGCAGCTCTCTTTCAATGATGGCTCTGCCGGCAGACAAACACGGCAGCGAGAGTTAATGGACACGGCATGAACACGAAATCTGAATCAGCATTTTTTTATTTATAGTGGAGGAATCCGATGAGCCGTGAAGCTCTTTGTCCATTAGGGATGGATCAGAGCGTTACAAACAACAACCCATACGAATGTTTATTTAAAGCTTTCGTGACTGCAGGGATTCATATTCTTGAACCAAGAATTCTTGAACCAAGAATATGAACCCATATGAAATGAACAGGATAGGAGTGCAAAGTATAAGAAATGTAAACAAATCGCTTAAAATATACGCCTGGTTGACCCCGTTCGCATAAACGCGTCTTTGTGTCTCTTCCTCCTCCCTCCTCCACCACCTCCTTCTGATTCCCACTGACGCCTCCTCCCTCCCTCCTCCTCCTCCTCCTCCCCCAACACCTTCGTCGCCGTGAACCCACCGCAGGTTTCCAGGACGTGCACGTGATGATCTTCATTGGCTTCGGCTTCCTCATGACCTTCCTCAAGCGCTACGGCTTCACGAGCGTGGGAGCCACTTTCTTCCTCGCCGCCTTCGGCATCCAGTGGGCCACGCTCATGCAGGGCTGGTTCTGGCACCTGGGTCCGGACGGCAAGATCCGAGTCGGAGTCATCAAGTGAGGGGGCACTGCAAACAAGAAACAAAGACAACGATCCCCCCCCCCCGTATAGCCTTAACAGACTGTAGGGGCAAGTGCTGTTACAATTTATTCCACAACCAATCAAACAATCCATCAGTAAACCAGTCTAACGCTCAGACAAGCAATAATCAAATCGCACAGACAGATAATTTTTCAAGCAATCACTCGAACACACGATCCATGGAATCATTACAGAGACATACAATTAATCACAGTCGTGCAATGCATCAAATAGCAAAAGACAAAGATCCCTCGTATAGCCTTAACAGACTGCTGGGGCAAGTGCTGTTAGCGAGTAGCACCTATGAAGGCCAGAACGGCACACGAGGGGGTGGGTGGCCAGCACCACGCCCAGCCGCCTTTGTCTCCCCACACACCGCACCAGGTAACTAATTAAGGCTGAGTCGACCTAGCGGAGGCCCAGGAGCACACACATCGGGGTAGGTCGCCTCCGCCACCCCTGCACTGATCACCATGAAGTATGGTCCAACACCCCCCCCCCCAACCTACAATCGTCTCGGCTCGTTCCTTGCACGTGACGTAAGCGGCACGGCTCGGCTTGTGAAGTGGAAACAAAACAACAACCCACGATGGCCTCTCGTGAGCCGGGGTGCCGGGCTGGCTCGGTTGTGCGGTGGCGAAGGAGATGTGTGTCTGTGTGTGTGTCTGTGTGTGTGTGTCTGTGTGTGTGTCTGTGTGTGTGTGTGTGTCTGTGTGTGTGTGTCTGTGTGTGTGTGTTTGTGTGTGTGTGTCTGTGTGTGTGTCTGTGTGTGTGTCTGTGTGTGTGTCTGTGTTTGTGTATGTGTGTGTGTCTGTGTGTGTGTGTCTGTGTTTGTGTCTGTGTGTGTGTATGTGTGTGTGTCTGTGTGTATGTGTCTATGTGTGTCTGTGTGTGTCTGTGTGTGTGTCTGTGTGTGTGTCTGTCTGTGTGAGTGTGTCTGTGTGTGTGCGTCTGTCTGTGTGTGTCTGTGTGTGTCTGTCTGTGTGTGTCTGTGTGTGTGTCTGTGTGTGTGTCCCGTGACCTCCTCGCCAGCGAGCCTTCGACGGCACCCCCGCGTGGCCTCCAAGTGCACATAACCTGGCACAAGTGGCGAGTTGTTGTTGGTCTGCTGTTGTTGTTGTTGTGTGTGAATTCTGGTCAAACTCGCAGCAGCAGCGGCTTTGGGCTGCTCGGCCATCAAACAGAGATGGCGGTCACCCCATCGCGCGCTCTCAGAGATGCGCTTCTGCGGCCGTCTGGAACGTTCTCCCTTCCGATATGAGGATGCCACTGGAGCTATGCGCTCTTAAATCATCTAGATTGACAAACTCATTTCCTTAGAACTCCTTTTGGTGTTTAGTTTGTTGTCCTTCCCCCTACACCTCCGTTCAGCATGGTTGGCTACGTACGGTGCGAAAGAAGTTCAACATACGTACATATGCAATGCGTATGTGTGTCTCCCGTGTACGCTCAGCATGATCAACGCCGACTTCTGCGTGGGCTCCGTGCTCATCGCGTTCGGCGCCCTGCTGGGCAAGACCACCCCGGTGCAGCTTCTCTTCATGGCCCTGCCGCAGATCACTCTGTACGCGGTCAACGAGTACATCGTCCTGCACCTCCTCAGGGTGCGAGCTCATCCCACCCTCCTCGCCCTCAACTCTCCTCGTTCGCACTCGCTCGCTCGCTCTTATCACCGTCATCATCGGCATTATCACTCACCCTCCTCATCCCTCCTCCTCGTTTTCACTCGCTCACTCACTCTTATCACCGTCATCATCATCACCACCATCCTCACTCACTCACCCTCCCCTTATTGACCCATCTTCGTTCTCACTCGCACTTGTTTATATATAGATACCTAAGAGGCTGCAACCGTAAGAGGCGGGTAGGCATTCATCCAGCAGCCGTTTGACGGAGGTCAGTCGAGTTATAGGATTACTCGCGGTCCGTACGGTTGCTTTGCATTGCGTTGCGGTTCAGCATCACAGTTCGTCAATGTAACACGCGCCCGGCCGCGCCATCGTTGTTTAGATGAAGCAGCGGTGAAGCGCCGCCGTTGATGCCTCATCTTGAAAGTGCGCATTGTCCCAGGAGGCCGCCGTAGATGGAGAGTTTGTCACTCTCGGACGCGAATCGCTTGACCCCATTGGCTCTCAGCCTACAGGTATTGTGGCCGCCCACTCTTGCACAGCCGGTCAACCACGTGCAACTCTTCTTGTTGTTGTTGCGACTCTTTTCCAAGAGGGTGTAGGAATGTCAGAATTGCTATAGCCACACGTTTGCTGCTGCTGCTGCTGTTGCCATTCATTGTATGGACGGACGCCAATAATCTCGTGTTGTTGTTATTGTAGTTGTTATTGTTGCAGTCATTCAGTTGTGCAATGACGCTGGTGGTGAAGCGGTGGTGCATCGGTTAGCGCGCCGCACCACGAACCTCCCGTGGACGTGGCCAGGAGAAGGCAGTACAGCAAATGCGTATTGCATTTGCTCCATCTGTATGGGATAGAGCGTTGCCCCCTCGCGTGCGTGGGTTTTCTGTGGGTGCTCCGGTTTCCTGCCCGATGTCACCTGACTATAACACAAAGGAGCGCCGCAGAGCTTGAGGCAATTCTAGATTTGAAGCTTTCGTGACTGCAAGGATTCATATTCTTAGGTTTTTTCGGTAAAGTCACGTAGGCAATTGTTGACGCCACGTGGCCGCTGTTGTCATCGCCGTTGTTGTGGTGCAGTGCAACGATGCCGGCGGCTCCATGACGATCCACACGTTCGGCGCGTACTTCGGACTCGCCGTGTCGCGCGTGCTCTACCGCCCGGGACTCAAGAACGGGCACTCCAAGAACGGCTCCGTCTACCACTCGGACGTCTTCGCGATGATCGGTGCGTGCGCTCACTTCTTCTCACTCGCGGCAAAGGGGTTCAGTCTCGTTCCTGCGCAGGATCAGAGCTGTCCCTAGGGTACAGCGATGTTTTACGCACCGCGCCAGGTACTCGTGTGTATGTACGCGGGTTGAACTGCTAATCGCACCCCCCCCCCCCCCATGTAGTTAACCGTTGCTCATTGGAGTTGCAGGGGGGGGGGGGTGAAGGACAAAAAAACAAGACACGAGTCGACCTAGGGTAGGCCCAAGACCGGTGCAGATAATCGCCACTCGGTGTTGATGGCCGTGAGCGGGAAAATCGAACTCGGGTCGCCGGGTTCGTAGCGCAGCAGCCAGCCAGCAAGTGCAAAGACAAAGATCAGGGGTAGCAGCCCAGACAAAGGTCTCCCGTATAGCCTTAATAGACTGTTGGGGCAAAGTGCTGTTAGCGAGCACTTTGGTGTTGGCCGTGGGCGAGGATCGAAACGCGGGTGGCCAGGTTCGATGAGCGTCGCGCGCTAACCACTGCACCCACCGCTCCGCGCGCTGCAGCCTACGCACGCGCGCGTGCGTGCTCGCACACACGCACGCACGCGCGTAGGCCACCGCTAATATGTGGGCGGCAAATCCCCCACCGGCTGTTTACGTTCCGTCTCGAAGATAAATCCCGTCTGCAAACACGGCGCTCGTGCACGCGCGCGACGTGCCGGAGAAGTGTCGCCTCTCCGTTGGGACGCATTGGCCCTGTTTGCTACGGATGCATACGACTCACTCGCTGTGATGACGTCCTCCTGCTGCTGCTGCTCTATTTAAGACTTGGAACCAGGTGGATTGCTTCACTATTCTGGCAAATCGCCCGATGATGCTGGATGTAATGACCAGCGAAACTTCGTACTCAAATTGTAAATGTTGTGGATTTGCTCTCCAACATACCGGTGGGCTGAAGTAGTAACCAATTGGCGTTTTGTTTACTCGACAAATCCCTTACTAATTGGCTGTGTCGGGTGGTGGAGAGTTACGACACATTTATACTTACGCGATATAACCCTTTATTATAAACTAGCGGGAAGTACCCGCCGTTACCCGGGTCTTAAAAATATTTCAAAACTTCTCTTAAACATCTAACAGTAGTGCGTACTGACTGTGGTGGTACCTGCTATGATTAAAGCAGTGCATACCGACTGTAAACCCCACCGTTGGAGAGGCAAATTGTTCGCAAGCACGCGAACACACACAAACCCACAAACAGACAATTTTTTACTTTTATATATATAGAAATATTGGTCGCGAAAGCATAAGTGTTAAACTCACTCGCTGTGTATCTACAAAAAAACCCCAACTATACTCATTTAAGGCCTACCACTGAGCTATATATATTTTTAGAAGCGACCTGGTCATCACAAATGATAGCCCAACGAAGTGGCTCATTGCGTTGCAATGTATCGCAGATAAATACTCTAAACCTATGAAGAGGTGGCTTACAGTTCCGTGCTTTGAGTCGGCACTGCTGAGAGCGATTGGGTTCCAATCTGGGCGTGTGGCCTTCCGTGATTAACCGGCGTTCAAAAAAGCGCAGTGAGTCGGAGGTCTCGCCTCGGTTCCCAACGACTGCCGCGTAAATTTTCGCTCTCACTTAATTGGCCAGAATTCAATGATGACGACGATGATTTGATTTCAATGAAGATGGTGAGAATGGTAATGACGACAATGCTGCTGCTGCTGCTGATGATGATATTTGATGACATGATAATGATGATGATAGCTGCTATTTGTGGATTTGCCTCAATCCACATCAAAGGCAAAAATCCCCCGTGTAGCCTTAATAGAATTTTGGAGCAAGTGCTGTTAGCGAGCACCCATGAAGGCCGGCACGACACACGAGGGGATGGGTGGCCAACACCACGCCCGGCCGCCTTTGCCTCCCCAGCAGCCATGTTTACACACCGCACCGGGTATTCATTTAAGGCTGAGTCGACCTAGGGGAGGCCCAGGACCGGTTCAGGTAACCGTCACCCGGTGTTGAGCGGGAATTGAACTCGGGTGGCTGGGTTCGTAGCGCAGCGCAGCGCTGCCGCTACACTACCGCTCCCCGCTCCATGTCCCCCCCCCCATCTTCGCACCCGCCCCCCCCCAACACTTCCACCCCGTGACCCGCCCCCCTCCTGCCCGCCTGACGACCCCGACGGCTGTCCCGCACGCAGGGACCATTTTCCTCTTCCTCTTCTGGCCGAGCTTCAACTCGGCGATTTCGGCAGCGGGCGCTGACCAGCACCGGGCCTCCATCAACACCTACTACTCGCTCATGGCCTCCGTGGTCATGACCTACGCGATATCCAGCCTCACCGACAAGCACGGCAAACTCGACATGGTGAGTCGACCCGTGTATGAGTCGACCCGTGTATGAGTCGACCTGTGTATGAGTCTACCTGTGTATGAGTCTACCTGTGTATGAGTCTACCTGTGTATAAGTCTACCTGTGTATGAGTCAACCCGTGTATGAGTCGACCCGTGTATTAGTCTACCTGTGTATGAGTCGACCTGTGCATGAGTCTACCTGTGTATGAGTCTACCTGTGTACGAGTATACCTGTGTATGAGTCGACCTGTGTATGAGTCTACCTGTGTATGAGTCGACCCGTGTATGAGTCTACCTGTGTATGAGTCGACCTGTGTATGTCTACCTGTGTATATGTCTACCTGTGTATGAGTCGACCTGTGTATGAGTGGCTACGGTGGCGAGATGTTAACGACCTCGCCTGGTATGCAGGAGGTTGTAGGTTTGATGCCGACCCCGACGCCTGCTGTATATTTGGAGTTTGTATGTCTCTCTCCATGCGGTCACGCGGATTTGTATCCCAGCCCTCTGCTTTTTCCCTCCACATTTAGACTCAACATCCACGCGTTGAGAGTATTTTGGCTGCGATACATTTCTCCGTGATAAGCCACTTGGTCGAGCCAGAGTTTGTGGCCACGTTGCTTCAGAAAAAGAGCTGTACAGCTCAGTGGGCAGTTCACATCTCACCACCGCTGAACCCTCAGTGCCCCCATGTCGCTGTGCTCCCGTGTCTCCACGTGTCCTACTCGTGTTGTCCTCCCCCCCCCCCTCCCCACCCCCTCCCGGTGTGTCTCAGGTCCACATCCAGAACGCGACGCTGGCGGGGGGGGTTGCGATGGGCACGGCCGGGGAGATGATGGTGACGCCGTACGGTTCGCTCATCGTGGGCTTCATCGCCGGAACCATCTCCACGTTGGGCTTCAAGTATCTCTCTGTGAGTCGTCATCGTCATCAGCATGAGCAGCAGCAGCAATATCATCAGCAGCAGCATTATCATCTGACTAGATGCCATGATCACCATCAGCAACATTATCATCATTAATTGCAATTCGTTCAAGCTTCATATATTTACGCGTTACACCTACGGGCCAATGACCCCCGGAATCGTGACGATTATATATTATATAAATAAAATAAAACTTCCTAACGTTGGACCCCCGGCTCTCCACCACGTGACAGCCCCTGCTGGACTCCAAGCTCAAGATCCAGGACACGTGCGGCATCCACAACCTGCACGCCATGCCGGGCTTCATCGGTGGCATCGTGGGGGCCGTCACAGCCGCCACCGCCACCAACAGCGGCACCTACGGCCTCGGGTGAGCGCGCCTCCACTCCCCCAGTGTACACCCAGAGTACACACAGAGCCCACCCAGAGTTCAACAAAATAACTCAATTGGGATTACACACAGCGGCAATCATCGCCCCCTCCCGGCAGATGAATGCCCGCACGCAGGACGGGGACTGAGGCACCTTGTGCTGCACAGAGACGGCAGCCACTGGGGGGGCCCTTTTAAATGTTGTATGCGAGATGCGATGGAAGCCACTTATTGCGTGCAAAGTGCTCTGAGATGCACCAGCGTGAAGGGCAAATCGTCACCATCATCAACAGGAGTATAGCCAGAGACGAATAAAGCTACACATCCATCAGGTAGGTGAGGATGGGTGAGGGTCGGCGAGTGTTGGGTGAAGCGGTGGGTGGGTGAGTGAGCGTAGGAACAGGTGGAGGGATGAGTGAGTGAGAGTGAGTGTGAGTGAGGTGACGTCACGGCGAGTTAAGTTCAGGTTTAGTAACGGTGAGATTGACGTTCGTTGTTGTTTGCCGTTTACAGGCTCACCGAAACCTTCCCTGTCCTCAAGGAATATCCGGACAGGCGAATCGGCGGGTACCAGATGGCTGGCACCATGGTCTCCATGGCGATGGGTCTTGTGGGTGGGACCATCGTAGGTGGGTCACGTGGGCCCTCGGTATTCGCGGGGCACTGATCCGACAGGCGGCGCGAATATCGAATCCGCGAATATCGAATCGGCGAATATTGATAGCATCGAGTGTGGAGGGACGTGGGTGGCTTGCGTCGTGCCAATCAACAGCCGTGCGTGCTTGAGAGCCGTCGCAGCGACAGCTGCGCCTGACGCTGCCTCGCGTTGCTGCTGTCTCTGAAAGGCTTCCTGCTGAAGCTGCCGATCTGGGACTTCCCTGAAGACGAGGAGTGCTTTCAGGACGAGTCGTACTGGGAGGTGAGCGCCACCAGGGTCGCCGCCAGGGTCGCCTCGGCCAACGTCGCTCACGCACTCCCACGCGAGTCGCTCGAACCTCGCGCCAATATTCTTTCGGTAAAGTCACGGAGGTTGGTTCAAAGAAAATAACAACACAAATGAAATAACAACAACAAAAACTACGACGTTTCGTCCACAACACAAGTGATCGTCTGTCATGCCTCCCTGATGACGATCGCTTGTGTTGTCATCTAATCGTCGTAGTTTTTGGTTTGTTATCTTTTGGTTATTTTCTTTGAACTTATCTACGTGACTTTACCGAAAGACCCAAAGAATATGAATTCCTGCAGTCACGGAAGCTTTAAGTCATCATGGAAATGTTTTCTCAACCACCCCTCCCCCCCATCGTAATGGTGCTCACCCCCCTTCCCCTCCCCTCCCCCACAAACAAGACCATTGATCGCCCTCCTGTCCTACTCACCACCATGTTACTCAGGCCACAATACACAGGGAGATCGCACGTCTACTGCTGTTCGTAGGGCATGTACAGTACGTACCGCAGTCTCCTCAACGCGTGTCACTTTCAAGGCCGAATCTTACGGAGTGAGGAGGCTGCCGTCTCTCTAGGGTCACGGCGATTCAGGGCGACCGCCCCGGGCCCCACGCTTTGGGGGGCCCCACAGGCTTTGACGTTGCGGTGTCAGATGCAATATTTCCGGTTTATTTGGAAAACGTCGGGGGGGGGGGGAGCGGGGGGGGGGCACACAGTGCGTGATATGCCCCGGCAGCCCGATCACCATTACCCCTGGCCACAGGGGTGATGGTGGTCGTATTATGTATGTTGAACATTACTTTCGCACCGAACATAGCCAACCGTAATAATCGGAGGTGCGAGGGCACTTGGCTCGCAGTCTAGAGGGTTCGAGTCCCGTCTCCCGGCTGGGCAGTTGAAACATTGGGGGGCGAATTTTTCGTTTAATGGTTGTCCCATACCGCCTTCTGCCCAACCCGGCAGCAGCGTTAATGGGTTCACCGGTTAGTCGGCGATCGTCAGGGCTCGCGTGCGGTGGAGTAAACTGTGGGTGCGTATTCCAACGTGACCTGGTCAGTTGTGGTGGAGTAGACAAAACGCCCGCTATAATGGAGGCCCCTCTCCGCCAGCAGTGGGGTGAGCATGTAATTTGTTGACGATTTTAAATTTTAGCAGATAAGACCTACTGAGCTATGTATACTAGACACAACTCGTCGTGAATTGGCTGAAAACGTCTTTAAATAAATGTGCAATGTCGCAGCAGTGGGAACCTCCTGAAAGAGAGAGAGTCCCACAGGTCAGCGTGGCTTTCCTGGATAACGACGTAAACACAGTAATTTAAATTTATATTCTTAGGTTTTTTCGGTAAAGTCACGTAGGTAAAAACATTTAAAAGTAAAATAAAATAAAAATCACGACGTTTCGGAGGCAACACAAGCTTCCGTCTTCAGGTGGTACCGTCACAGCCACGACAGCTGTATCAAGTAAATGAGAGATTGCAGGAGCTACCACTCCGTTTATATAATGGTTGGAGAAGGTCGTGGGGCAAGGGCCGCATACTTATTATTAATATGGTAAGGTGAGGCTTGAGACTAAGAATAGACTGCCTAACAAAAAAAAAAACAGTAATTTAAACTAAACTAGTTATTTTTTTATACCGGGCAAGGCACACTAAGCTATATATATAGAGCTCTTTATCAGAATCGACCTGTCCATCACAAATGATGGTGGCTTATCATCACGTGGACATTTGTAGCAGCTAAATTCTCGAAACCAATGTTCTTCACTTATTTTCAGAGGGCGGGGGGGGGGGGGGCACTTTCGCCGTTAAGACAACATCGGCGTGAGGGCCGCCACACCGCCTGCAAGGGCGTGTTTCCACATCTTGTGTATTGCCGGGGGATGGGGGGGGGACGCACTCAAGGCCATCAGGGGCCGCCAACGGCCCACGGGCCTTGCAACAAAGACCACCGCTCTGAACGCGTGTTCGCTTAATATTTACAGCGGCCGCACCTGCGCCTGTGTTGTGTCGGGGGCGAGTCAGCCCCAGTGTTGCCCGCCTCACCTCGTCCTCCACTCTGCAGGTGCCCGGGAGCGACGAGGAGGATCACAGTCCGGCGCCTAAAGACCGCAACAACCAGGACTTCCAGATGACGATCGAGAACTCCAAGGTTGATTCTTAGTGCCAGCGAGAAGCGAGGTGTGGTGCTTGCGTGTGTGTGTTTGTACGTGTGTGTGTGCGTGTTGGGGGAGCGGTGGTGCAGCGGTTAGCGCGCTGCGCTACGAACCCGGCTACCCGGGTTCGATTCCCGCTCACGGCATAACACCAGTGACGATTATCTGAACCGGTCGTGGGCCTCCCCTAGGTCGACTCAGCCTAAAATGAGTACCTGGTGCGGTGGTGTGTAAACATCGCCACTGGGGAGACAAAGGCGGCTGGGCGTGGTGTTGTCCACCCACTCCCTCGTGTGCCGTGCCAGCCTTCATAAGTGCTCGCTAACAGCATTTGCCCCAGAAGTCTGATAAGGCTATACGGGACATCTTTGTCTGTGTTTTGTTACGTGTACGTGTGTGTGTGCGCGCGCATCGGACTTCATAGGTGCTCGCTATCAGCACTTGCCCCAACAGTCTGTTTAAGGCTATACTGGGGATCTTTGTCTCGGTCTTTGTGTGCGTCGACTCAGTCTTAAATGAGTAGGTGGCGCTGGTATGTAACCATCAGCAACTAGGGAGACAAAGACGGTCGGGCGTGGTGCTGGCAACTCCCCCCTCCCCCCCATCTCGTGTGCTGTACCGGCTGTCATAGGGTGGTCAAAGTTCCCGTGATCTCATTCGCAAGTGTTGCCCGTTTGCCTTCCAGCATCGCGGTCTAAGTGTCCACATTTTTTGTTGTTTTACCTCTCCAATTACTTTTCTAACTCAATCGGGATTGTGCTGACAGCAATCATCGCCCGCCCTACTGCAAACAAAACAATAATTGGAAGGACCCTCGGTGAGGAGTTCCTGGGTAAACAGGTGGAATTATAACAATGATTATATAGTCATAATTAACGATTAAATAATATTCATTCAAGGGTTCCCCCAAATTGTGCTCTGCACCACCCACCACTGCACTTCTTCACAAGTTGACCACAGTTCCCTGTTCAACGTGAAAAAAACGTCAGTCGTTGCACGCCTGCACCCGCCTGATGTTTCGTACAAATGTGAAGCTTAAAATAAACCAAAGAGAAACAAATGATGGTGAAAGGATAAAAAAATGCGTATACATATCTGTTTAAAGATTGACAATTATATTAACGTTGTTTTTTCACGAGTGGTATTGCCCACTTGACTTGCTTCCTGTGTGTGATCGATCGGATATCGTTTCTTATCAGCCGGTAAATGTGATGTCCACGTTGAAGCGGTGGTGGCAATGCTGCACGTGGCCTGTAATCCAGCACCGTGGATGTTAGGGTTGATGGATCACCGCACACTCAGATGTTGTGAAACTCCCTCCCCGCGGGCATCGAGGGGGTGCCTATCTACCCCTGGCTCGCCAGGACAAAGCAGTGCTGAGCAAGTGGACTAATCGCCATCTGTTTCCATCTGTACGGGGGATTGAGCGTTGCCCCCTCGCAACGCGTGGGTTTTCTCCGGGCCCTCCGCATTCCTCCCCACTGCTCGTTTACTAAACACAACTCGTCGTGAATTGGCTGAAAACGTCTTTAAATAAAGATGCAATGTCGCTTGAGTGGGAACCTCCTGAAAGAGAGCGTCAGACAGCTCAACGTGGCTTTCCTGGATAACGAAGTAAATAAAGTAATTTAAACTAAATTAGTTTTTTTATTATTTTACCAGGCAAGGCCCACAGAGCTCTATGGAGCTCTTTTTCAGAATCGACCTGGCCACAAATGCGAGCTCAGCGACGTGGCTTATCATCGTGTGGAAATGTATAACGATTCTAAATGCGGAGGGAAAAATCGGAGGACCCGGAGAAAATTCCACGTGACCACGGAGAGAGAGAGAGACACGCAAACTCCAAATATACAGCAGCAGGCGTCAGAGTTGGGCTCGAACCCAGGGCCTCCTGTATACCAGGCGAGGTAGTTAACATCTCCTAGCCACCTTGATGATGATGAGAGAGAGAGAGAGAAAGACGCAAACTCCAAATATACAGCAGCAGGTGTCAAGGGTCGGGCTCGAACCCACGACCTCCTGTATACCAGGCGAGGTAGTTAACATTTCCTAGCCACCGTATAATACTGTGCAGTCACGGCTATCATCAGTGGCTAGTAATGATACCTGAACCCGTTCTGGCTCCTTTCCTCGCCCTCACCAATGCACACTCAGCAGTGTGTATTTATGTATTTAACTTGCATCAAGATTTCTGACTAACAGCCCCCCCTCCCAAAACGACAGGCGGTCAGCAACAAGCAGCACTTTTAAAGTTGTAGTAGATTACGAGTTGAACACGTTTTGTTGACTCGGGCGATTTGGGAGGGAGTTCCATTGCGTGTTGTAATCGCGGTGCAGTATGGGAATCGAATGGTTAATTGGTCGGATCGCCGCGCTCTCTACTAAACATATCTTTTAACAAACACATATATATATTTTATTGAGATAAAACTGAAATAACGGCAGGAAGGGGATACTTATGGGAGCGTTTCTCGCGGAAATTGGAATGTACTGAGAAAGCATATGATTGTTGTAATATTGATGATAATAATTATTATATTGCAAGTGTTTCAGCATCTGTTTAAATGTTTCGGATGTAGTGAATATTGCCTGCGATAATACAGGCGAGCGTGCGCTCAGATTAAGAATCGCTTTTTTGTTGTACGTGGGTGTTGATATAAAGCAGTCATTTTCAACGCCTGTGCTTCGACTCTCTTTACTGTGCCCTGCTAACGGTGGCTGTGTCGAGCCAAGGTAAAAAAGAAAACGCCAAAGCGAATTGCTGCTCAATTCAGCAGTGGGATGAAACGGGAACACCCGAAGAAAACCTCGCGCGTGCGAGGGGGAAACGCTATATCCCCGTGCAGCCTTGCAGAGTCCGTTGTAGAAATTCCACGTTCTTATGGCCTGGCGCGGGACCCAAGATGAATACAAGGTCTGTGGTTTATAATTATTATTCTTCTTCTTGGTTCTTTCGGTAAAGTCACGTAGAATGGAAATAATAATATGACTTTAAATCCCCCGCCCACCTCCTACGCATTTCACAAGTAGTACTAATCGCATATCTGGATTTCCCATAAATATGCTAAATTCCTCTTGATATGCAAATTATTTTGTCAAGGCGCTCTTCCCCCTCCAACCCAGCTTAAATAGACGCTCCAAGCCTGGGGTGTGTCATTCAGACTCTGTCTTCTCGACAGACCTGTTCTTCAACTGAGGACGGCTGCTTGCGTTGTGGCCGAAACGTCGTGAGAATGATTTTATTTAGTTTTATTTTTATTATTTTATTATTTCCATTCTACGTGACGTTACCGAAAGAACCAAGAAGATGAATCCCTGCAGTCACGAAAGCTTTAAATCGAAAATTATTATCATCATGATTATGAATGCCAATTATGGTATATACAAAAAAAGCCGAACCGAGTCTCAAGACGTTTTATTTGATTCCGGAGGGCGCGTGCCACAGTTGGGTTGTTTGAAATGTTTGTAGTAAATTGGTGTTTTGGCTTCATGCGGGAGGCAACTAGCGTGCCCGGGGGAAAATCCCACCACACACACAATTATCTAATTCCAAGTAAAATCTAAGCAGAACTCCAATATCTTTCTGCGCATATACACACACACACACACGCGTAAATAAATACAGCCATGTCCATATTGCATCGCCACACTAATATTACCGAGTAGCATCTGTTTTTAAGCGAGGAAAACTCTGGAGCAGGCTTCAACCTCCTGATTCTCATCAGCAGCAAACGCCGCTTGGCTTTTTTTCTGGCTCGCCGGCTTGCGGGCTTGCCTCATACCCACCCGTGTTATTGGCACAAGGCAGGAAGCATAGGTGTTGTGCGTTTGACCACCCGAGGGCACACGCTCTGGACGAAATTTCTAGGAATCCCAAATATGCGGGCGCCGCAAACTCTGCCTGACGAAGAGGCCAGTGCCGGTCCGAGATCACTCCCCTCCCTTTTGCCTTCGGAAAGCGGATCACTCCGCCCTAAACAGAGAAACGCGCGAGACGACACGTGGGGGAATTTCAGGCAATACTTCGTTGTGGAGACCGGCGCACACGTACGCTCGCTCTGGCCCAACTGGGCCCACCCTGGGCCGTGAGACTCGCGCAGAATCGCCGATGATCTTGACGCGGTCCTCCCGATCGATTTATTTTGGTCGACCTATTGAAGCGTCGCTTCGTCTTTGGCTTGACCATCTATCCCTTCCCCTCTCTCTCTCTCTCTCTCAAACGTATGTACGTATGTTAGACTTATGTTGCACCGTATGTAGCCAACCGTGATAATCGGAGGTGCGGGGAGAAGGACAATAAATTTAAATCAAACAAACAAAAACAGTTCTAAAGACGTGAGTTTTCGGTCTAAATTTAAAGGTGCATTGCACCCAATGGCTTCCTGACATCGGAGGTAAGAACGTTCCAGACGGCCGCAGAAGCGCATCGGAAAACGCGCGATGCGGTGAGCGCCGTTTTTGTTCGATGACCAGAAGCCAAAAGCCTCTTGCTGCTGCTGCTGCTCCTGCTGCTGTTGCTGCTGCTGCTGTTGCTGCTGCTCCTGCTGCTGTTGCTGCTGCTGCTGTTGCTGCTGCTCCTGCTGCTGTTGCTGCTGCTCATGCTGCTGCTGCTGCTGTTGCTGCTGCTCCTGCTGCTGTTGCTGCTGCTGCTGCTGTTGCTGCTGTTGCTGCTGCTCCTGCTGCTGCTGCTGCGAGGATGACCGACGTTCTCGCGATGACGACGGTTTATTTTCCTTGACGTGCGACGAACCCGAAGCACTGCCCGCAGCGTGGAAGGACTTGAGTTTGTAAAGTCGCTCGCTCGCTCGCTCGCCCGTCGTAGTCGTGCGTCATTTTCTTGGGAAGGAATTCGTCACGAGGCTGTCTGTGGCCCCTCTCAAGCTCCGTGCGTTCGTTTCTCGTGACGCCGACGGATTTGCCGGTTAAGCAATGGCAGTCAGGGGTAGGACACGAACATATCCTACTCGGAGTCAGTGGGGGGGGGGGGGGGTGGCAGAGGTCGCAACCGGGTACCCGATACCCGTACCCTACCCGAAACCCGGCCGGGTACGGATACCCATTTGCGACCCTGGTGCGGCCGGGTACGGGTAAGGAATAAAAACCCGTTTGCGACCTCTGGGGGGGGGGGGGGGGGGTCCGAGAGTAGAGATGAGGGGCTGGGGGGAGGGGTTTGCCCACTCCAGTTAGGGGGGGGGGGCTTGAAAGAGGTGGGGGGCTGGGGACCCCCCCAACCTCCTCCAACCGTCCCACCATATAACTGTAGGGCCCTGTAAGTAATTCGAGAATTTGAAATGTCGCGACCGTCCTCCGCTTCGGAAGTAGCCGAGAAACGCCTCTGCCCTGAGTAACAGTGACTATTCAGAGGTCCCAACAGCACGGGGAGGTTGTCGCGGTTGTGCTGTTGCACGGATCTCCGACGTGCTGTAGTCGGCTTGTACCGCGTGATGTCCGACGTTTCGCTCCACGTGCAAAATTCAAACGAGTGAAACAGGACAAAATGACCCCCTTATTAAATAGAGCTATGATTTATTTGGTTGTTGATCGGATCACGTGGCCTCTGTAACCACAAGAGACGCTGCTTTCGCAATGTTTTTGATCGTTTCTGGAATGAAATAGTCTGGATCACGACAATGGACGATCCCGTATGAACGTAGCCAACGATTCAAGACGTTCATTACCATGCGTGTATGCGTACAACGTTGACCAACATTGTTCGGTGCTGCTGTTGCTGCGTTGGCAGTGGTGCACAAACAGCAACAACAACAACTCAACACGTTCCGTGTCAATAATAACAACACTGGGACCCCACGGTGGCGAGATGTTGACGACCTCGCCTGCTATGCAGGAGGTCGCTGGTTAGATCCGGACCCTGACGCCCGTACAGTTTAAGTTTGCATCTCTCTCTCTCCCTGCGGTCGCGTGGATTTTTCTCTTGAGTCCTCCGGTTTTCCCCTCCGCAATTAGATTCAACATGACGCGTTTAGAGTATTTGGCTGCTATACATTTCCACGTGATGAGCCACTTCGTTGAGCTATCATTTGTGGCCAGGTCGCTTCTGAAAAGACCTATATAACTCAGTGTGCCTTACCTGATAAAATAAAATCATTCAAACTTTCGTTTAAGTAAAAAGAGAAGAAGTATATAATCGGCGACGTTTCGGGGTGATGACCCTTCCAGGCCGACGCGTGGAAGAGTAACACTCTCAAGAAAAGCTCTCTCAATCTCTTCCGACAGCAATAGAGCGAGTACGTAATTTATGGGGCTGCACCTGTTGCCCTTCTAAATGACGCGGGGCCACTAAACTGTCATCCTCCTTGGAGGTGATGCTCTTTAAATTGCTGTCACGTGAGCGATTGATTGATTGATTGCTTTCCCCCAGAGCCGGACGAGAGCCGGTTGGGACCGGAATTTTGTTGTCGCTGTTTGTTTTCTAACTCTCTCTCTCTCTCTTTCTAACCACAAACACGCGGACGAACAAGACAACTATAGGAAAGGTAAACACATCACTTTAAAATATATATCTAAACATATCTTACCAGGTGAAGGCTACTGAACTAGAAGCCTCTTTTTCAGCGGAGTGGCTTATCGTCGTGTGGATAGCTGCCACCCCCCCCCCCACGCCTCCCCACTGCTCAGTCACGGCCTGGTCACATGCTTCCGAAACGTCGTGATTTTTTATTTTGTTTTATTTTACTTGTATTAATTTAAAAATTTTACCTACGTGACTTTACCGAAAAAACCTAAGAATATGGTCACATCAGTTTCACATCATTTTTATTAATTAGGTATAACCCTGTGAGCCATGCGGCTCTTGACTCGGGCGCAACCGCAACAAACAAAAACATGAACAAGAAACATCTTAAAGTGACTCCACGCAACAGAAAAATCCAGGGAAAAACAGCAAAGTCTTCCATCAGTGTCACCAAGCCACCCTGAAGGAACCCCTATAACTCCAACCACCGCACCGACTCCCCAGTGATCATCCTTTGGTGTTTCTGCAGATGAACGCGTAGAGCTTTTCTTCTCTCTCTCTCTCTCATTGCTTGACATCGGATGGAGCACTGTTGTTGCTGCTGCTGCTGCATCAACATCGTGCGGGCGAGGGCGTTCCATTTCGTTGAGCTTTTTTTGCAGAGTTTACTTTAGTGGAGGTTTAGAAACCCTCGACGGAGGGACATTTGCCGCGATGTGAGTGTTGCCAAAAGGGGACAAAGCGTGGCTTCCTTTCTTTGTGTCGCTGTTGCGGCTGTTTAATTTCAGCTGCCCTGTGGCTTTTTGACCCGAAGAATGCCGGAGGGCTTAGACACGCGCACAGGTTAATGCGTTGATTGATTCACGGATTCAAGCAAAATATTTTCCCCGTCCACATTTGTTTTAGGCCACGTATTGATACTGACAGAAGTCAATCAGAATCAGAATATGCATTCACCCCGGAGGAATCCGATGAGCTATAAAGGTCTTGTTTTCACAGGTGTCCATTAAGGGGTGGGAGGGGGGTCAGAAAGTGACAACGGCAAATTCTAGATTTGAAGGATTCATACTCTCTGTTTTTTTCGGTAAAGTCACGTAGGTAAAAAAATTAAAATAAATTAAATCACGACGTTTCGAGCGCAACACAAGTGTCCTTCTTCAGGTGGGGACAACTTAGCGAAAGCACACACTTAATTTATTTTAA